AATAAATATAATATATTAATTAATATAAACATATATTAAATTTTAATATAAAAAATTCAATATTTATATTAATTAAATTTAATATATAAATAAATTGGTTTAATAATAAATTAAATTATTTAATAATACCATTTTTTTATAAAATTATTAAAAGGTATTTTTTATATTTAAATATATATAAATTAAAGTTTTTATATATATAATAAAAGTAGTAATAATTTAACGTTAATAAATTACAAAAAAACTTAAATAACTTTATATTAAAATAAGTTTTTAAAAATTTTAAAAGTTAAGTAATAAATTTAAATTTGGAAAAATAAAAATAAAAAATATAAAAAGTTATTATATTATAAATATATTATAATAAATTTAAGTATAAAGTTAAATAAAAAGATTAAAATTATAATTTAAAATAATATGTAATTAACAATTTATAAAATATAATTATATATTTTAAAAAAATTTATAATAATAATTTTAAAATTATAAACCTTTTAAAATATTTATAATAATAATTAAACATTATTATTAAAAATAAATTTAAACTTGTTTATTTAAATAATAATTATGTAATAATAAAAAATATATTTAAGTTATATAAACAATAATAATAATATAAACTTAAAAATAAATTTTATTAAAACGGAAAAGTTATTTCCGCTAAGTTATTACTTTAATAATATGGCATATAAATTACATATTATTAAAGTTTATTACTTTATAATCTTTTAATTAATACGTATAAGTTTTAAAATATAAAAGTATAAATACACATTACGCATTATATATTATAAATCTTTTTTTTAAACTTATTATATTTACTAATAAAATTTAATTTATTAAATTTTTACATTTTTATTAACTTTAACTTATAACAATAATTTTAATTTTTAATAAAATAATAATTAAATTTTTTTTAAATTTTAACGTTTTAAAAATTAAAATATATATATATAATAATGATTTATTTTTAAACTATAAAATAATAACTAATAAATAAATTTACTTTAAATTTAAATAATTATAAATTATTAAATAATTTTATTTTTAAAATTATATATAAATAAACTTTTTAATTTTATAACAATTTTATACATATTATAATTAATATAATATTAAATTGTTTTTATATTAACAACATATTTAAATTATAATTTAAAATTAATTAAATTTATATATATATATAATTATTTATTATTAAATAATAATTTTATATTTTTAAAAATATAAAAAAAAAACAATTAAAATATTTTAAATTAAAATTTTATATTATATATTTTAAAGTTTTAAATGTTTTAATTAATTAAAAACTATTATAATAAAAAAATACATTAATATAAACTATTTTAATTTAAATTAATTAAAATAAAATAATTTTAATATATTTATATAAAATTTAAAAAAACGCATACATTTATAAATTTACGTAAACGTTTTTACATATTTATATATTTATATAATAAAATTTATTAAAAATATTTAAATATTTTAATAAATTTTAATTAATTAATTTTTTATTTATTTATTAATTATTTATTATTTATTAATTATTTATTAATTATTTAAAATTTAAAAAAACGCATTTATTTATAAATTTACGTAAATGTTTTTATGTATTTATAAATTTACACAGTAAAATTTATTAAAAATATATATTTTAATAAATTTTATTTAATTATTTTTTTTATTAATTTATTAATTTTTTATCATTTATTAAAAAATTATTTATTAATTATTTATTAATTATTTATTAATTATTATAAAATAAAATAAATTAAATTAAATATAATAAATAACAAATAATTATATTTAATTAAAAAATTTTTATCCCGTAAAAATAAAAAGTTTAATTAATATATATAAAAACAAATAAAACTTTAATTTAAAATAATTAATTAAAAATTTTATTTGTTTTTAATTATTTATTATTATTTTATTAATTTTTTATAATAATTTCGAAAAGTTTAAACGTAAAAAATGTTTTTAATAAATTAATTTTCCATAATAATTTTTAAAAATTTAAACGTAAAAAATGTTTTTAACAAATAAAAATATTTATTAATTATATTTAAATGATGTTAATGTTTAACAATTTAACGTTTTATTAAATAACATTTAACATTTTAATGACTTATAATCGATGCAATACACGATACGTACCTTTATACACGGCACAATTAACGTTAGTCTGTTTTAATTGGTCGGCATGTTCCAAGTGCGTCATTATTTTGGTATACTAGCCTAAACATGCAACTTTATTTAGTACCAACTTATCTCATATCTTTTACAGCCTTTCTCCTGGCCATAACACATTAACTTCGCAATGGATATCCGCCCCAAACTACCACCTATAACCTCTTCTCCTAACTTCATCAGCTCCCAATATACCCTTCATATCAAGCATCCAGGTTACGGAAGCGAAGATGACTCTCTGTTGCAGTTTGTCAATTTCGACAAAGGCGTTGATTACGATCTTGTTATTTATGCCTGCTGCATTGTAGCTGGCAATGCTTGGCCTCTGGAGATGAAAGACCATAAAAGAATTAAGACGCGACACGACGGCGGGACGCTTGGTTACGTCTATTTATCGCTTTCGAAGACGGCTAACAAGGAAGAAGCCATCACCCGTCCTGATAACGGTATTCTTACTAGCTCGGCTTACTACCTCCATAACGAGGCAGGCGATAGTAAAGTAGCACTTTTTTATTCCCTTTTTCGTACGCTGATTTGTTGCAGTACACTACCCATTCACACCATCCTTTAGTCATTGGATATTTCCCCATGATGATCTACCTCCTCCTTGGCAGAAGATAGCCATATCTACGCCGGCTTGTAGCGCGGGGCTGAGCGACGATAGCCGGCAGGCAACGTTGACCCGCGACCAAACCTGTCGAATAACCAACTCCTATACCGCTTTGGAACGAGCTCACATAATCCCCAGATCTGCGGACCGGTGGTATCGGGTAAATTTCATGGGGTCGTATACTGGCCCTATGGGAATTGATAGTATGGAAAACTCCATGGCGCTCCGTAAAGACGTCCATCATTTATGGGATAAAAATATGGAAATAATCATGTTACCTAAAGAGCGCGAAGGCAAATACCATCTGGTCAGCCATGCATTTAAAGCTACCCGTGCCACTTTTAAAGAAATAAAACAGCAGTACCATAATCTGGAATGCCAAGACCTATATGAGATTCGCCGAGAATATTTATACGCTCGATTTGCTTGGTCTATCTTCAACGCAAATACTGTTTCGAGTCTAAAGTCCGGAAGAGGTGCATACAAGGTTCTGCTTTCTGCGGAAGACTCGATATATCCCCAAGTCCGAGTCAAAGATATATTCGGAGGCCAGGTTCCTCCGGCCTCGCTTCCTCGTACCGACTTACCGGACTCGAGCCCGCCTACGAAAAAACGGTCCCTATCTCGAAGCAATAAGAAGAGCTATTATTATTCCGTCGACAACGAAATCATAGATCTCTACCCGTACAGCGGCACAGGCGAGGAGGACAATGAAGACGTCAAGACGGCCCGTAATAATACTCGCTATTATTATTCCGTCGATAATGAAATGATAGATCTCTACCCGTACGGCAGCACGCGCGACGAGGACGGTGAGGACGACGAAGACGAAGACGACGACGACGATGATGATGAGGCAGCTAATAGCAATGCCCGCTATTGGTATACTGTGGATAACGAAGTCGTAGATCTCTACCCGTACAGCAATAAATATGATAGAGATGATGACCAGCGTATTGGTCGAAAGCGTCGACGATCAGACAGTTTCGGCAGCAACTCCACTCCTCCCCTTTCGCAATCTCTTATCACCGTCAACAGCGGCAGTCGGAGCGATAGCGCTGTAGCGGACCCGCGCGTTACGGAGTCCAAGAAGGTTGACTCACGAAATAAAGATGATGTAACTGATGGCGTAGCTCCTTCTGAGTGTCAGGTCGCGTGGCGTGATGCGAAAGGCGTATGACTTCGATATGTTGTGGATATAGCGTGGTTGTTTCCTTAATTTCTAGGCTTGTCAGGTCTGAATTACCCAGGGTACGATTCTCCCTATGTTGCTGGGCTTGTTCCGTGTCTCTTGCAGCTCGGATTAGCGGTTATACCGTGTGGTTTATACGGCGATTGGAGTATTTTACTCGTGATGGGAGCAGGTATGATATTAGCCTCCATCTCAAGGACTATTCCTCAGTAGACTCAAGAGAAGTGGGCCTGTCGTGAGGATACCGAGAAGACGTTCGCGTTGACTAGAGGAAATGGCAGTCAATATGCCATCATAATTCAAGGTGCCGGTGTTGGCTTTGACCTAGAGGACCTTGCCGCTTCTGACTGGGGAACGATCAAGTCGTGGCCGGCAAGGATAGTTGTTCTCGTTCTGACTGTCCTCTGGATCTTCCTCCTGATCGCCGCCTCTGGAATCCAAGAAAACACATGGTTTCTTCTCGCGGTGGGTGGCTTAGGCACCTTGCAAAATACTTACGTTGCCGGTGCCAGTCGCTCGCCGGAGGCATTTGGTATGCCTCCAGAATTTGTAGGGGTGATTGCTAAGCCTAAAGTCATGGATGCTTTGTTGGCTGTCAAAGACCGCTATCCTGGCGTAGGCAGAAGTCTACTACCTATTTTTTTTTTTTTGCAGAGGAGTTGAACGAGGAAGAGACGGGAAAATAGAAAGACTATGGAAATAGAAATAAAACATAAAGATTAGAGAATATTAATAATTAGTATGAGACGAAGAAAGAGAACAGTTTAATTGATTTAAAGAACTAATATTAATGTTAGTTAAGAAGTCTATCACAAGGAACCTGTTTATGGCATAACTATCGTATCTTTATTATCAAGTTTTGCGGAATTTTATTGATTTATACGAGTTCTACTTACACTGAAACAGATACTCAATGGAATGAATGTCAGATATTCAAGATTTCTCCCGATTTTCTTAGATTATCTTTCAAGGTTCTAGCCTGGGTAAAGCAAACCTAAGTTGAAGCTACTGAAGCCACTCGGCGACATGTAACTTGCGAAGAACGGAACTGACAAAAAGTCCTCGTTTCTTCAACACCGGAGCCGGGATCTTGATAGAAACCTTTGGCTTCACCTCATCCTTTAGTTGTTCGGTTCCTCTCACCTCGCTTTCACCCGTTGTGGTACCCTCAGTAGCATCAGCACGACTTAGCGCTAGTGGTTTAAGAGAACCAGCAGTACCATAAAGAATCTGACGACTATGCTCCTCGAGAATACCCAATTTCTGCCGAAAGAAGAACTTGATGCGAGCTTGAACCATACCGTCCAGCTCAGAGTATTTATTCAATACATCGCCAAACGGCATCGCAAGTATTTCGGGGGACAGCAACTCTTCAGGTGTCGTGTCAAGGTGAAGCTTTGGGCTATATTCATAAATAGGCCAAGGATGATTAAGGTCGCACTCACGAGCCTCGGCTAAAATAGTCTCCCGCTCCTCTTCGCTTCGGTTAAGCATGATAGCCATGTAATAATCCCCCATAGTGAGCTTGGGCTCAATTTTGTCTTTGAGACTTACAGAGTTAGACATATTAGTTCGATTGTTGTTGCTTCTTTCCAGTAAAAATCTTAATTTTAAATATTTGAATACTGTATACTTAAAGCTAATATGATGATGACGCTGGAAGAAAGCAGAGAATAAATTAAGGGTTGTTTTGGCGTGTATAAGTACCCATTTCCCAAAAACAATCTATTGTTCACAATTAGTGAGATATGAGATCAGGAATACGGTGAGTTGCGTGTCTATTAAGACGTATAGTCGTACCACACTATTGCTACCACGATCCCAAGGGCTGAACAATGCGAATATTCAGGAACAGTGTCATCAAGAAAGACCGAGGTCCCTAATCAGGATTTTGTTAGTCTACATTCTCTTTGGCGATCGTGTATACCGTTATAATATTAGTTAATAGATAGAATATCATCTAGTATGCGTTCACAGGCCTTCCCCTTTTTGAGTTGACCCTCCCGCCAAAGCAATGCGAGATAGGTGGTCAAGGGTTCTTAGGTAAACTTTTGAGAGAAGCTTGATATTACATTCCGAAGCTTAGCTATTATCAAAAGAAAGTATACATAGACAATTGGATTATTATATACTGTTGAATGGCTTGTTGTGATACCCAACATCGGGCTCTCTAGTCATTCTATTATAATAAATAGAATTTACTACATTAGTATCAAGTGTTTGTTAGCTAGGGCTTATAGTATACATATGTGCTAGAAGGCTAGTGCCGTGGGTATAGATCGACAGATAGGCCACGGTATTATCATGTTCCCATCGCTAGGGACGATGACATTGCCTCTTGGAACTATTCGTTAGCATTATGATGTTTTATGGTTCATACTATGGGACCCAGCCGATCTCCTCGATCGGCCATCGAATCCATAGTCGATATCCCTCATCTAACACGGAGTATATCCTTCTAATTAAATGCATACCCCACCCTTCTATACACCAGATGTAGTCAAGTCGTTGAAGTAGGACGCAGAAGAAAGAAAGCACGCACAATGCTTCGTTATCCCGTTCCTTTAGCAACTGTACAAAATTCTCTCGAACCTTGAACAGCCACATAAATGCGGCTCTGAGCCGCTGATCATCTGTAAAGGTACCATTGGAGAAATAGACGAAGCTCCGCCTCAGTGATTCTATTCCGTGAGTAAGTTCGCCTAATTTCTCTGTATCTTTAACGTATAACTTGAGATTGTTTTCCAATTCTTTAAGCCCGTCGTGTTCGGGAGGCGCGGTATTTTCCCAAGCTTCGTTCATCCGTCTACCCGAGTCGAATATGAAACCCAATGCCGCGATGGAGCTTATAGCATCAGAATTGAGTTCTATTACGCTACGCATGCCTCTGAAAAGAAAAAGCCATTCGGGCGCGACTCCGTTCGTTATTAAGAGGAGGTTATCCGGTTCCCTGGGGTTAGCAAACGCGAACCACGTCGTAAGCATGCTGAAGAAGAATATGGGTACTGAATGGGGAGAAGTAAAGTCATTAAGTACAGTTAGTACCCTAGATGTCGATGCGTTGTGATGAATCATGGCTTGTTCGATCAGGATATCTCTTCGCTGTGGTTTGAACCGGGAAAGGTGCAATGCGGCAACTGCTAGAAGGCCTCGAAGGACATATTCATATGAGAACCCCATCTGCGGTAGGTTCACACGCCAGAAGTTTCGAAGCATCGGTTCGGTGGAAAAGGTGAAGCATGTTGAAGTAGTAAAGTGATGGAGAAGCTCGAGGTCGAGAGCACTAAACCAGCCCGCCGGCGCGTGTTGATGAATGGAAGTATCTATAGGAGATGCGACCTGGCTAGTGGGGGTAGTTCCGGTACTGCTGCTGGCGACGTGAGGACTAGGGGCCGTAAGGTGGGTTGATATGTCAAAATCGCAATTAATCCCACGTCTAAAGTCCAATCAGCACGGCCGTCCATTCTTCGGAGACGGCATAGTCAACAACCCGGTGTCGAGGTACCTTATGCAATTGCGACAAGATGGTCGCGTTTCGTCACACTATACTATTAGAACGATGTATGTAAACGAAGAGCGAGTTGTTAAGCGAGCCCACCTTAACTTTCCTGGATTTGCACACTCGGCATCCTGTCCGAGTCTTCGCGTGCGGTCTTCGGGTGGCCTTCTGAGTTGGCGAGGCCATTCTTATTGCTTACTAGGTAGGCTTTAGGTCTTACCACGGTAGATATTACATTACTTCGTCATAAGTTGAAGTAAGGTTAATGAAATATAAAATTCGTACATGTTCGGAAACGCGTGGCGATTACGATTCATGCATATAAAAGCCCCATTCCAAGTACGAATACGAGAGATCCCCCCGGTCTCGTATTCGTAGAACTGCCGAACTACGAGCCAGTCTAAAGCTGTTAAGGTTAGGTCCCTAGGTAGATATTTCAAAAGTCGCCAGTTGCACAGACATATGTACACAAGTGCCGTTACTATGAGAAGTGTTGCTAATAATATCTAAAATTACAGGGCCTAATATATTCAGCTCAAGTGCCATTTGCTGGTTGGGTGTACAAGGTACCATTGATGGTAGTGCTCAGCGTGCCATTCGCATCGAAGATATTCGTGAACGCGTCAATAGACAAGTGGAATCCATCGGGGCTTGTCACCTTAGTAGCATTCGTCTGTCCGGTTTGGACCAGGTCGGAATACCAGTCGACTATGTTCAGAGTGACGGTTGGATTCTGCGTCGTGACGTTCTCTGTACCATCGAGAAAGGTAAGTCCATCATCAGAGAAGTTGTCGTATTTTACAGCAACAGACCTGACAATCGTGAGGTTGGTGTCTGCAACGATGGTGATGTGAGCCGAACCAGCTACCTCGCCATACATTATATACTCGCCGCTAGGAACTAGCAATGGTAGGGGAGGGACGTATCCCGGTTCGTAAGGGGTGGCCCAAGGGATAGTGTCGTTTAATGGCTCAACGTGTGCCAATGATACCGGCTGGCGAGAAGTGAAATGCGCCACCATCACTCGCTCGGTCCGGCCACCAGGTTCGGTCGAATTAGGGCAAGAAAGTGGATTATTACCTCCGCAAGCCGGCGCAACGACAAGAGCTTCCCAATACACCAGCCGCGTGGTGTCTAGAGAAAATCTAGGGTCGGCTCGTCCGTTCCATAGTGGGTCGCTAATGCTGCCCGGGCTCCCATCACCCGCCCCATTGATACGCTGTCCGTAATAATCCCCGCGGTCTCCATACTTATCGAGAAGATACGGCTGAAAGAAACGTCGATCGCCGTTATTTCGGGTGGAAGATGCCGCTGTCGCAGAAACCAAATCCGTGATGGGGGGGATATTCCGCATGCCGGCCATGAACATCTGCCTGTCGCTGCCCCGAGTATCCATAATCGCTATCCATTCATCATCCGCCGAGATATCAATAGGGTCACAGTATTCGGGGTGACTTGTGAGCCTACGGACAGCGCCCGATGTCAGGTCAACGGCAAACACGTCGATGTTTGATGATTCTCTCGGACTACCGATATACGTAGCCTCCTTACCGCTTCCGCTAAATCCTCTGAATTCGCCTACGGTGATAGCATCAGGATTGATACGTACCCGATTTCCGTCAAAGAGTAGTGGCTGGTTTTTGGTACCATCGCTAACCAAGACGTTCACATTCGCTAAGTCATATCGGGGTGCTAAAGGTAGGCCAGTGGTTGGTGATGGATTAAATTCAAGCCGGCCCACGTAGCCGTATTGGCCTAATTTGCCCCCGGTGCTAACGAATGAATTAAAGCCGATGTGTATGTTATCGGGATGTACACGCAATTCGCGCATGATCCCGCCCTCTCCTGATCCATCTACGGCGGTGTTCCAACGAATAGGATATATAAATGTCGACTCGGGGACACATTGATCGCTGCTGAGGTCGAATTCTCCGCAATCAATGATATTAGTACCGGCTAAAATCCGTTTTCCGTCGCGGAATGCCTGAGGATAATCCAGATCGTTGGCTCGACCGATAGCGTTATCCTTGGGCACTCCACAGGTAACGCATTTGAACGGGCTGCCATTGCGGAAAGTAGTGCCGTCGGATTTAATGAGTATTAATTGGTCCCCAGCGTATAGGCTTCCTGAGTCGGGTGCGCCAGTATAGTTGACACGGGCAATAACATGGTTGCCGTCAGGCAGAAAGCTTCCCGACTGAATCAGCCCTCCATGCTGTAGGATACAGCCTGTGCCAAGAGGATCTAACTCTAAGGTACATGATCCTTGCGAGCTATTAGCTACAGGTGGCAGGGGCAACTCAATGATATCGATAGGTTCGGGCTCAGGGGGAGGGGGCGTGTCTGCTTCTGAATAGACAACAGATATTATTATCCGGAGAAGAAAGAGGAGAAACGACTTGGTGACAAACATTGTCGATGACAGTAGCATTTATAACTTCCAGTCTCAAAGTCACAGTATCCGAGTTTTCTTTTTCTTTATTTTCGAGTCTTTACGTCTCAGTTAAATATGTTTAAGACATGTTTCCACTCTACCTAACCAAGGTATTTTGTGTCCATCAAGAAGGACCTAATAATGAAACCTTCCAGAATTGATCAACGACCAATGAACCGCTTAACGCCGATTTCAATATAGATTTCTTAAAGCGAGCGCGTACGAAGTATACGAGTCGCTTTTCGTTTAGTAGCTTACCCCACATTGGGGCTTGTCTCAAATTGCTAGGGGGTTTCAAACTACGGAAGTCGCCTTCAAAAGTTATGTCCATACCAAGCACCTGTCAGCCTTGGTTACAGCTGTCGACCAGCTGTGACGCGGTTTGACCCACTTGGCACGCAAAAAGTATAAAGTACATTGAAATATACCCTTTATTATATCAATAACTATACAACCAAATATATTTTTAAGAAAATATAGCTTTTAAATATATCGTAAATATAAAAGCTTAAATATATTTCGGCATAAATCTTAATACTATAACTTATATATTTGATGTGAAATAAATAGATTAAAATGGTATATAAAAAGGAGTACATTTACTATCACGGCCGACAGTTGTCGCCAAGATTTGCCAAGCTGACAATGGCCGACCTATGGACAAAACTTTTGAAGGCGACTTCCGTATCGATCAAGCTATTTTTGAGGTTGCAGCCGCTAGTCTTCCGAAAAGTACGAAGTACGAGGTACGAATCCGAGTCTATCCTATACGAGGGTTCAATCCCATTATTAGCGTTAATTATGCAGGGAAATAGGAGATGGTCATGGATAATGCATAATGCATGGATAACGTTGTAAGGCTATCCCTCCAGCCTACCTTAGTCACAGCGTCTTATCGAAACCCATTTCAGATGAATAATATAATAATTTTCTGATGAGTAGTAAAAAATAATGATGGTTAACCTATAATTATAAGATTCCTGTGACAATTTACGAAAACTACTTATTGCTATAAAAGAAAACGACCAGATAAATAATTACAATTATCAAATCAACATCATAGATAAAGTCCCTATTACTTTCACTTTATTATTCAAGACCTTCTAACAGTTCTAATCTATAATCATAAAGTCCTAGGCTAAGCATCATATCTTTGCTTCCGCGTGGCTGTGTAACTTCAGGCAACTGGGTATCAAAACTACGAATTTCATACGAGAGATTGGCTATAGAAACTACGTGATTGCGTAAACATCCAAAGTCTAGACTGGAAGATATAAGGAGATTGATGATATATAACTCTATGTCCCATTGCTATGAGTAATCAATCGCAACTACCTTTTAACCAAAATCAATATCTGATTAAGCCTTTTTCAATATTATCAAATCTCGATTCTAAGTGCCCTTAACACCGTTGATAACACAAACACTCGATAAAACCAAAGCCCAAACCAAAACTCATCAACAATGGCCTTTTCCGCATACTTCGATACTCGTTTCAAGTTTCCAGTGCATATGACACAGTTATGCTTGATGATACTGTTGACTATTCTATCCATTGTCCGTGTCGCTATGAAAAATCCGCCCCCACAAAGAGCACACGTAATGGGAATTGCCATCGTGAGTTACCTTAGAAGATGAGCTTGGTACTTAGCTAACTCATGACTTACCGTTTAGGGGTTTAAATCCATCATATTTCTTCTTTACCAAATTCTCACAGAACACACCACGACATTCCAGAAATGGGCCAACAAAAAGACCAACCTCATACTGAACTGCATCGATATGCCATTCTGGGGAGCCATGGTGTTTCTACTAATATCCGCGAACATAAACTTTTGTGTCGGTGGATCATGTGCGGTTAGTTGGGTTATGGTGTCGCTGTCAATTGTTCTCTTGTAAGCTTGGTTTCCACCATAATAGATCGAGTCTGCATATGCTGACATAAAATTCGTTGCAGGATACTTGCTCATTGGGCAACCGTTGCGTCCTACTTCGAGTATCGATCCTTAAGCAGGGGGACCGTTCAAGAGAGTAGCTGCGTGTGAAGTTACTAAGAGAGTCCCATATCTCTGAATTGATGACAAGGTTACGAAATGGTGAATTCCTAGGAGCAGGGATTCCCATGCACAATAGAGGGGGATATTATTTGGGGGTCGAGCGTTAAAGAGGACCAGGGGAGTTAGGGGTAGGCTTAAATGCGTTGTAGATCACTAAGATCTGGGGATTTAGAAGACATTGCGATTGGTTGGCTGGTATCCAACTTGCGATAACGCCCGGATTTATGAAGGTTATTATCACAGGCTCTTTTTTTTTTTTTTTTTTTTCGAAATACCTATCTGTTCTAAAATTTAAGGGTGTTAAGCTGTACAAAGTCTTTTTTCTAGATGCCAAATCCTCCTTCTAGGTGCTAAATGTTCCTCCTAAGTGCCGGGTTATGGGTGTTAAGTCGTCGGATGTTAATGTTGAAAGTATTCAAGATGTTCAAGCTATTGTAGCATTCTAAAGGGGTGCCCTCTCGTTGATATCATGCAGTATCTAGGTCGTGTTAGGTTAGGTAGTTTCTAGGTCGGGAGCGGAAGTTGCCAAGGTATTGCATATAAATTTATGAAGTCGTTCATGACGGCAGGACGGGTAGCATTCTCTCCGGTGCCTAGACCTATGTAGTTGAATGGCCGGGCGCAGCCGGCTTGCGCCCCCCCACCGCGTGGCCCGTGTCGTTATACCTGTGGGTCACGGGCACGGTATTCAACAGAGATCCGATGCTACATACATAGTATTCTAAGTATGAGTAAAGGTAGGGGTATGATTGGTCAAACGAATTTCGAATCCTGGATCCTGGTCTGAGGCGTTGAGATAAATGCTGGCACTCCCATCGTGGATCACGTACTATTCTGGGTGGAAAACAAAGATCTTGAGCTCTTCACAATGGCAGGCTTCTTACAACAAATCGGAAGCGAACTCAAAGAATATCATATTTCGCACCTTATCCTCATCGCTGTCTTTCTCGGTATCGCATATCCTTGCCTTCATGCTCTATACAATCTCTATTTTCACCCGCTTCGACATATCCCAGGCCCCCCACTATGGATCGCGTTCCCAATTACGAGGACGATTGGTATGGTCCGGGGAATAGCTGAATTCCAAGTCCGCGAAGCTCATGAGAAGTATGGCGAGGTTGTTCGAATCTCTCCTAACGGAGTCTCCTTCATCAATCCGCAAGCCTGGAAAGACATCTACGGACATGGACATGCAGAATTTCCGAAGCACTATCCCAAGGGGATCAATATGGACACCAAAAAGATTATCTCGTCCAATGCGTCAGACCATTTCCGCTTCCGACGAGCAATGTTGCCAGCATTTTCCGACAAGGCCCTGGCGCAACAAGAGCCACTCATCAAAGTTTATGTTGACCTATTGGTCGAGAGATTGCGAGAAGTGTCCGAGTCGGGCAAGCCAACTGATATGGTCCAATGGTATAATTTCACGACTTTCGATTTGATCGCAGACCTTGCGTATGGTACCCCTCTGCAGGGCCTAGCTGAAGGAAAATCAAATGCGTGGCTCGACAATATCTCCAAGTTGATGAGATATATGCCTGTCCTGGTTTTGATCGGTGTGGCGCCCATCTTGGGTCTGATTCTCAAGCTTGTTGCTGGATCTCAGGTTCGTAACTCACAGGCTAACCACCTTGCGCTTGTTACCAAGCTTGCCCACGACCGTATCTACCATAGGAAACAGGCGGATAGAGGTGACTTTATGGATTATTTCATGCGCTCACGTGGTCAGCCACACGAGCTGAGTGATGCCGAACTGATCGCGAACAGTGATCTATTGATGGTTGCTGGATCAGAGACAACTGCAACGCTCTTAAGCGGGGCGACATACTGGCTGCTAAAGACGCCGCATGCGCTCAAGAAGGCCACAGAGGAAGTTCGTAACGCGTTCCAGTCAGAAGAAGAAATTACCTTCCATGAAGTCCGCACTAAACTACCCTACATGGCTGTCTGTTTGGAAGAGGGTTTGCGCCTTTTCCCTCCTGTTCCGATGTCTCTGTCCCGTTCGGTACCAAAAGGACCACCTATGCAGATTGTGGGCTTGACAATTCCCGAAAAGGTAAGGAATCAAGATGTCAAATATACTATTACTGTCGTGTATCTAACAAGCATTTCTACAGACTGTCGTTGGAGTTCACCATATGTCGGCTTACCACTCAGAGCTTAACTTCCATAGAGCGCGGGAATATATCCCAGAGCGATGGCTCCCTGAATCCACCACGAATCCGGCCTCGCCATTCTATAACGACCGTCGTGACGCTCACCGCCCCTTTTCCTTTGGACCTCGGGACTGTATAGGCCGCAACCTTGCAATACACGAGATGCATTTGATTATGGCTAGAGTCCTATGGAATTTCGACCTGGCTTTAGATGATAAGTCTGGAGACTGGCATAACCAGAAGATTTTTGGACTTTGGGAGAAGCCACCTTTGGAGGTTGTTATTAGACAGAGAAAAATCTAGTATCATGTATCAATATGTCTATTATCTAAAGGCAATACGCATATACCTACTAGTTGTATAGTATATAGCCTCTCATTACCACAATATACCAGCTTTGGCGGTTATTCATTCAATAGTACCATCTGCGACTACGTGTGAGTGAAAGATGCATCTCGAACCTTTTAATTAGCCCTACAGATTTATGTAACTCACTTTACTACACACTGTATTGCATAATCAAATGAGCCTTTGTACCAGGTATCTTAAATATATAAGACAATACGTTGTAAGCTCTTGGTCAAATAGCAACTTTGTTAGTGAGCGGTATCATATATATGGAGTTATTATGCATACGCCTGAATTGTTGTAAATGTTTTTGAGCAGTGTCCAGTTATAATATTACCATCAGCTTAAAGTTGAAATTGGTCGTGTCAAAATAAATATATATAATTTCCCTTCAACTATTATTTACCTTATATGCTTAGGCGCCTATCTATTTGAAACTGACTACATCAAAACGCCATGTATGTAAATTGGTTGGATATAAGTAAAGATGATACACTTGCGCTAAGAAATCTCGGTTGTTCCGATAATGCTGACAGTATATATTGTATTGTAACAAAGAGACAAATCAATACAATGAAAGATGAGAAAGCGACTTTTATTTGTGATGGATTATGAACGAGAACTATACTTTATGTGCTATTAGGATCACAATTATAGCTATCTCTTGAAATACCAACCATTGTTACCTCTTCAAATGATTTTGTTAACTTAGAATTGAACTTGATGCTGATGTAGTAGGTAATAAGTTCCGAATATATCTTAACTTGAGCGATCGAATTCCTTATATCCATTCTCTTTTATTTCTGGGGCTTATTTCAATAAAGGAATGATGAACCGGAACCGGTAAGTCTGAGTGACCATGTCTACCAGGGCATTGTATATAAGCGGACAAAGTCAATGACAAATTCAATGACAAAACACTATCCGTTTATTTTTCAGATTGATATGTTACCCAGACGTAAAGAACCTAGCCCATCTCTAATATAATTATTTGTGGCCGAATACCTATCGACGTAACAACCTAACCTACTAAATAAATTCAACAAAATCTGAACCCATTGTAACGATGGCTGGCAGGTGGAGGACGACGTACAAATATAGTAGTATACACCTTGCAGTCCCTGCATCCCCGGAGATATACGGTGGTGATCCGACAATTGCAAGGCAGGGTTTTCTAATTTTGGAAATTGATGAACCTGGAATTTATCTCGCCCAGTCCGTTGAAAACTGGCAGTTGTATAAGGTAAAGGTATTCAAGAAGCGTCTAAACCCCGATGACAGAGAAGAGATAAGGGAAGATGAATTCTTCCACCCTGCACCACCTGAAGTGAGAGTTTCGACGATACCTCCCGAATTATTCACGAACGTTCAAGGCGAATCCCGTGTGATTTCTGTGGAGGACTATTTCCAAGACTTAGTATACTTCTATTCACCAGATGGTGAATATTGGACTCTTTACTATGAGTGAGTGCTTCTGGCAATAGTACTAGCAGCGGGTTTTTAAGAACAATTAATTAACAATTAATTCCTTATAATTCAGATATCTGAATGGAGGAACTTTGGAAAACTTAATACAAAAATATTCTGAAAAAGGCAGGTCAATTCCGGAGATGTTTATTTGGCATGTTGCTGCCGAATTAAGTAAAGCATTGGCACATATGTATTATGGCTGGAGTCCAGTGGCTCGCCAGGGAGTCGATGACTGGACTATGGCATACCACCGGGCCATAGATCCAACTAATATTTTGCTTAACTACGCACCGAGGAGTCCGGGAGCTGCACCTAGAGTTGGAATTGAATCGAATGCTTTCCCCCGGATTGCACTAGCTGAATTTCAGCACTCGGCCATACAAGATGACGATAATGCTTGGCTACAGCCAGGCCTCCAACCAGATGAGGCAGAACCGAATTTTTGGGAGGACACGTACCATCTTGGCCGCGTGTTACGTCTTATGTGCATGACCCATATTCCATACGGTCAAGGTATAGGAAGACGTGAGCAGACGAAAAACGAGCGAGGTGAAGACGCTCAGTACCACCGGCCGGATAGTAGGTTTGTTGCGGATGCTAACAGAACACCTGGGTTAACGCAACCTCCAAACTATACCCCCTTACTTATGGAAACATTGGGCGAATTCGAATGGGATGGACAAAAAAATATGGATATTGCAGACCCGGAATGTAGGGGGAACGTTCAGCCCGGTATTGAGTGGGTAATGGATACGCTGCTGCCCCGAGCAGAGAGGCTGGTCGATGCTTTTAGATGGGGACCATTCGTCAAGGAAAGGGGTCATTTTACCGCTGTGGATGTATCGTGGACGAGGCCGCTTGGCCCTTTGGTGCCGATTTTCTTTAATGATGGAGAGGATAATACAGAACAGGAAACCAGCCTCGACCGTATGGAGCATCTACTAAGGGCAGATAGGAATTATATGGAAAACTGCGAGATACAATTCCCATTACCAAAGTACCGCCCAGCGGGAACATTACAATTACCTTAGAAACAGATAAATGACCTTGAGGAAATCAGCAATCATTTTATATATTGGTTTATGTACATGTACTTAGTTACTTTGCACTTATAAATATCTGGGTACATAGGTACTTGGCACATGTAATCGGAAACATTTCGCATGGCGGGGATAAGAGGATAAGATGGTAAGAGGATAAGAAGATAAGAGGAACCGGTGGAGCTATAATCTACACCGCCCGGCATAAAAATAAATTTACTTGGATTTTCTTAGGTTCAATAGTTAGACTTTTTAATTCTATAGTTTAATTGGGCCAAAATATTCATGATATTTCTTCATCGTAGACCTTATCAAGATGGCTTCTAAGCGCAAAGCCGACGACTTCATATATACCTTATCTGATAACGAGGAGCTTCCCAATGAAGAAGATGTCATACTCGAGCCGAACCCACCAAAGAAAAAGTCCAAGAAAAACAAGCGACCTACTCAATTAGACGATGACGAAAATGGTGTCTGGGGCAAGAAAGATGAGGATGATGGGGCAATGGACTCTGAATTCGAATTCGCAGAGGATGTTACCACAGATTTTAGGACGGAGGATTTTGAAGGTTGGGGTTTTGATGGTGCGAAAAAGGGTATGAACGGAAACGTAACAAAGAGACTCGTTGACGTGGACGAGATCGTGCGAAGGAGAAGGGGTACTCAAGAGGATAACGAAGTAAACAAAAACAAGAAGGAAATCGCGGATGACGTTAGTAGCCAAGAAGAAGACGAAGATATCGAACTTGACGATCAGGACGACGAAGTTTTAGCTGAAGATGGATTTGGTATGGGTGCTGCTTCAGACGAAGAATCAGGCGATGATAGGGCAGAAGATAATTCTGATCATGACGAAAATGACGAGGATGATGCTTCAGATAACGATTCTGTCGCTACCCCCGTTGATCACCCTGATGACGAAGAAGAATCCGACGAAACGGACGATGAGGAAGATTCCGAAGAAGCAGCTAAGAGAGCGGCCTTCTTTGCACCTGAAGAGAAAAAGACAGCTGGGAAACACAATGGAAAGTCTTCGTTCCAAACCATGTCCCTTTCACGACCGATTTTGCGCGGTCTTAATTCTGTCGGCTTTAACGAACCCACTCCAATCCAAGCGAAAACAATACCACTCGCGCTGGAAGGAAAGGATCTGGTTGGCGGTGCAGTTACAGGCTCTGGAAAAACTGCTGCTTTCGTTGTTCCCATCTTAGAAAGGCTGCTGTACCGACCAAATAAAATCCCCACGAGCCGCGTGGTTATCTTAACTCCTACCCGAGAACTCGCTATACAGTGTCACGCAGTCGCAACCAAGCTCGCTGGTCATACGGATATCAAGTTCTGTCTAGCAGTCGGTGGTTTGAGTTTGAAAGTTCAGGAAGCAGAACTACGCCTAAGACCTGACGTTATCGTTGCCACTCCGGGTAGATTTATCGATCATATGCGTAACTCGGCTAGCTTTTCGACGGATACGGTTGAAATTCTGGTTCTAGATGAGGCCGACCGAATGCTTGAGGATGGGTTTGCAGACGAACTGAACGAGATCCTTACAACCCTACCCAAGTCACGGCAGACAATGCTCTTCTCCGCTACCATGACTTCATCCGTTGACCGACTTATCCGCGCTGGTTTAAACAAACCAGTACGAGTAATGGTAGATTCTCAAAGGAAAACGAACGACAAGCTAGAACAAAAGTTTGTCAGGTTAAGACCAGGCCGGGAAGATAAGAGAATGGGTTATCTCATTCATATCTGTAAAACTATGCATACTGAGCGTGTTATCATATTCTTCAGACAAAAGAAGGAAGCGCATCGTGCTCGGATCATTTTTGCCTTATTTAACCTGTCCTGCGCCGAACTACACGGAAGTATGAATCAAGCACAGGTGAGTAATCCTCTTAATACGCTTATTCCTTTCCCCTTCTAACAGCTCGTAGCGTATTTCTAGTGTCGAATCCTTCCGAGATGGTAAAGTGTCTTTTCTGCTGGCCACTGATCTGGCTTCTCGAGGTCTTGATATTAAAGGCGTGGATACCGTTATCAACTACGAAGGCCCACAGACACACGAGATATACGTACACCGTGTAGGGCGTACTGCACGAGCTGGGCGTTCGGGTGTTGCCATCACACTAGCCGCAGAACCTGACCGGAAAGTCGTAAAAGCAGCGGTTAGATCTGGGAAGGCTCAAGGAGCCAAGATCAGTAGTTTGATCATTGATCCCGCCGATGCTGATAAATGGCAAGACAAGATCGACGAGATGGCCGATGAGATCGAGTTAATTGCTCAAGAAGAGAAGGAAGAGAAGCAGCTGGCACAAGCAGAGATGCAAATCAAGAAGGGAGAGAATATGGTTATTCACGAGGATGAAATCAAGTCTCGACCGAAGCGAACATGGTTCGAAACGCAACATGAGAAGAAGAAGGCCAAGGAGGCCGGAAGGGCTGAGCTGAATGGGCTAATCGAGTCGTTAAAGAAAAAGGGGAACGGCAAGTTAAGCAACAAGGATAGGAAGAAACTAGACGCAAGGTCGACAAGGACGGAGGGTATGTGGAAGAAGGGCTCTGCCGAGAGGGCAGGTAAAGGTGCCGTTCTTAATTTCAAAAATGATAAGAAGAAGAAGAAGGAGGCCAGAACGTCTGGGAAGACACAAAAGAGATAGGATAGGGCTAAATGATATTAATACTAACATGAGATTATTCGCGTTGCCCGGCTCTCACGTTATAATATACCCGACATTATGTAGTTTCTCTAGGTTATAGTTAGCTAAAAGATAGCCAAGTATGATCAAGATATAGAACTATCCATGATGCTATTGCCACTAAACTCACTAAACTTGAATATTTTATAGACCTAACTACTTGCCTACATGGATGATTTATGTGTACCTTCTAACATATGGAAATAACATATGGAAAGGTACGAACAGGGATAGATATCCGTTAGGATTTACGACTGATGTCACCAGTGCGCGGCCCCCACCAAAAAAACAACATTTGCCCCGTTTGGCCGTGAGACTCTGAGACTTTTGACGGCACAAGCTCTAACTTTTATAACCTTGACAAAAGTCAGATGATGAAATATTACCTGTCGGCCCTATCGCAAAACCTTCTTCCTATGTCAGCCTCTCTTAATTTTGTAAACCATGTGTTAATTTAATTGGCCCTTATCAAATTCAACCCTCTCAGTCGTTCGAAGACATAAGCCACCTGGTTTAAAGCCTTGTCACATTGCGATCGATACATGTTTGGTATATATTATTTATTATTTTAAGGTGAAGCTCGAACAAGTTTAACCACTTGGTCCTCGGAACCCTCCCAAAGTGGCTCCATCACGTCGATTTCTCCCTATACGTCCTCATCCCCATCATCGACAGAGCCTCCTCCAGTACCTTTTCCCACATAGCCTACGCGAACGTTACCGCGAGCGACTTATCGGTTTCCACCTTGATACCTTTCCTCACTATAAACATCGCTTCCAAAGTCGCATCTACCGCTTCATCCTCGACCGTCAGCGCCGTCGCCGTGAGCAGTCGCGTCTCGTCGACCACGCGCGACGGCTGTTGCTCGGCTTACCAACTCCTAATACCAAGAGCCCGAGAGATGGATCAAGATCTACATCGGGAAAGATGACAACTATGCCAGAATATGGGTTGGGGAGTGGGAACTTAGGTGCCGATGGCGGGCGTGAGAGAGGCTCGAGAAGGAGGAAGCTTGCAGCTATGGCTGGTAGCATGTATAGGGCTGGCGCAACTGCGGTAAATGAGATTAAAGAGTCTTACTACCAGACAAGATCGAGCGATACCGATACTTCAGAAGCGACCAGGATTACAATACCAGATTCCTTCCCCGACGTTGCCATCGTGACAAAAGGAAACGAGCAGATGGTCTTATTTCCGTCCTATGCAAAGAGGCACGTAAAGAGTCAGCCTAGGCAATTCGAAGATCCGGGAGGACCACCCCATACTTCAACTATGAGCATGAACGAACAGGAATACTGGAGGAACGAGTGGTCAAGACACGAAGATGAGAAAGCTATTGTAGACGTAGATGTCCGAGGCTGGATATACATCCCTCATAGGAGTCCAATGACTCGTCGTAACCGAATATTGATTGGTCTGGCGAGACAGTTAAGCGGCATTCCCGCTCCGAGGACTCAACAGGCCGACTCAACTTCTGCTATGGAACCCTCTTTGGCGAGAATACACGAGCAACACGAGGAGGAACGTGAGCGAGAGAGGATCGCACAAGAAGCCAAAGAAATCGAGCGCAAGGGCAGGTTTGAGGAAGAAGCCGCGCAGAAAGGTGGTTATAGTGAAAGACCGAGGGATGAAGATTCTGAAGACGAAGGAAGCAGGCGACGCCTGGACCATTACTCGCAAGATAGCAGTAGATCACCACCCTCTGCGCCGTCATCACCTGTTCTCCGAGGGCGTACCAATACAACAGGAACTACTGAGCTCACTGAAACGGAACTGGCAGTTGCAAATGCAAATCTAATGGCTCGTATCGCACCTTTTATGACCACACCGTTGGTTGAGATTCCCATCACCTTGTTCTTCTATAACGAAAAGCAAGCCCAGTCGCGCACCGTAAAAACCAATGATTCAGGTCACTTTGTAATCAGAGCGGCGCTCGACTTCGTTCCGACCCATGTACGCGTGCTCGCGAACGAGGACATATCCTATACAGAACCAGTGCAGCTCATCGAGCCAAAAGGAGTCAGTCTAATAAGCGATATCGACGATACCATCAAACGCTCAAACATCTCGTTCGGCGCCAAGGAAATATTTCGAAATACCTTTATTCGTGAGCTGGGCGACCTAACTGTAGACGGTGTTCAAACATGGTACAACGCTTTGCATGACCTCGGCGTTCGCATACATTACTGTTCCAATAGCCCGTGGCAGCTGTACCCGGTGTTAGCTACGTATTTCAAGTTAGCCGGCTTGCCGCCGGGCTCGCTACATTTGAAGCAGTATACGGGTATGCTTCAGGGCATATTCGAGCCCGTGGCCGAGCGGAAAAAGGGTACGCTGGAGAAGATCATGAGGGATTTTCCAGAAAGGAAATTCCTGCTAGTTGGTGATAGCGGCGAAGCGGACCTCGAGGTATATACGGAATTGGCCGTCTCTAATCCCGGGAGAATACTAGCTATTTTCATTCGAGACGTTACGACACCAGAACAAACTGGTTATTTCGACTCCGGATTCGACGCACGTAGTAACGGCAGGCACATTCCTCGAACTAATTCAAACATTCGTCTTAACCAGGTATCTTCTAGAAGTAATAGCAGTGATAGTAGAGAGGGTAGTCTCGTCGGAAGACCCCCGCTCCCTCCTCGAGTAACAACTACGTCGAAATCAGTTAACGGGACCGTCGTAGGAGACCTAATTGACCTGTCGGAGGAGCCGGAACCGGAGCCGGAGCCAGAACGGCTCCGGCGGGTCGAATCGGAACCTCAGACGGTAGGAAAACCCGCACGACCGGCGGATCTACTAGCACGGAAACCACCGCCACCAAGACCTGCGAAACCAAAATCCTTACAGAGCACACCGGCCGCGCCGATATTGACTACAGATGATGGCGGGCCTACTAAAAAACCCTCGGGTTCGGTGCCCCCGCAGCCACCAGAGCCACGTAAGCCAAGCCAGGCGAATAATAGAGCGTTGACACCTAGCCCTCTAGCGCAGATGCAGATGTCGTCTGACCACGCCGGCGGAAGGGACGGACTAAGAACGTTGAAGAAAACTAAGAGTAACGGCCAAATATCCGACAATCCAAATCTTCCTCCCCTCAACTCATCATCTAAGATCGCACCCCCTCCTCCGCCCCCTCGACGAGGCACACCGTCTAACACCTCCACGACGAAATCGAGCCCGCGTCTCGTAGCGGCTCGCGCTAGCGACAGCAGCCTAGTCCGCCGCCGGACAACAGGGGACTCGGAGGTTGAGTTTGAGGGTCTGTCACCTGGTATTAATAGTAGCGCTACGTATAACAACGGGAGTCCAAACGGACAGTCGGCGGTTATGAACAAGAAATTGGACTTGTGGCGTCGGCGGTTGCAACGTGCGCAGGAGACGCTGGAACGGCACGGCACGGCGCTGTATACGTGGCGTCGCGGCGATGAAGTTGTGGATGAGGCAATTGGGATTGTGAAGAGATGCATGGAGGAGATGGATAGGTGAAAACGGATGGTCAGTCGTGATTAGAAATAGGAAGGTGGATGGTGAGGACTATTAGTATATATTTCACGAGTGTGTTTATATCTTATGGTGGTATGTTAACATGATACCAAGCGGTGATTGTAAGTGAGTGAAGAGCACATTTTTCGGTGGCTAGAGCATATCAAGACTAGAGAACGACGGAACGTTATTGTTTTATAGATTATGAATGTACGCTATCGAGGTTCTATATCCTCAAGAAATAGGAAACTGGTAAACTACGAGATATTCTGGTTGTGTTGTTTACGATTATGATGTTGGTATAATACTAGCTTGTTAGATACAATGGTAAAATCCGTCTTAACTCGGGTATGAGAACATTAGAAGACTCCCTCGGAATAATCTACAATAACGAAGTTTTCTAGAAACGGTATTACGTAGTTCTTGAATTCCGAATGATGAGGATCCGAGTTGACGTAATAGTTCCGGTCCTCAATCGATTCGAATTCCACAACGAAAGCGTGTGTGATTCCACGCTGGAGGCTTAATTAGCGATCTTGCAATTCTATCTATGACCTTAGTAGTTGGGCGCTTACCTGTGCTCCCTCGATGGAGTTGTCTTTACCGCCGGTAAGAGACTTAATATATTGTTTCCGCGACGTAGGATTGAGGCAGCCTTCCTTTAGGCCAAGCATACGCGACGTTGCCTACACCCAAGTTAGTGTAAGTGAGTTAGAGCATTGGCGCAGTGGCGCATTGGGAACCGGAAGCTAGTGGAGACGGACCTCTTTCACGGCGTCGGCGCCGGTGTTGGCCTTGAATTGGAATAGGACTAGATGTTTCACAGCCATGTTGTTCAGAATGTAATAAGGTAACCGGACCAAAATATTCGGAATAAATAAACAAATAGAAGAATATAGTTTTTAATATGTATATATAGAAGTTACAGAAACCTCTACATATAAAGGAGATATTCGGCACTTTCTTGCATGAAGATAAAGAGAAACAAGGGGTACAGGAGTGGGGTACATCAACATCTCCTTAATGGAGCCTCTAACTAAATATGTAAACCTCCCCTAGAAACGAGACGAAATTATCGAACAGATTATTGATCTTAGTTAATGCAGATTACGGTAAAGTGTCGCGAATAGGCTCTTTAGTTTTCCACGGTTCCTCTCTTAGCGCCATAGTTCTCTACACTCTACGTATCAGCTACTGAACATCACAATATACATCTCAATATACGTAGTAATGACTACGTGGGTACGCCCGATGCTGAAACGCTCGTCGGCCCTTTGATAATCGGTTCAACGCATCCGTCCCCGGGGTTACGCGCCGACTTAGAATATTGGTGGCTTTCTTATGTAAACGGATCAGAAGAGCCGCATCGCTAGTACAGGATTATAAGATTAATTGTGGAATTTTAGAGATATGACTCTATCCTCGATATAGTGGTGAATATAGGATTTAGATTGGCGGCAACTGTTAAGATGTTCGCGCTGAAGTTCTCTTCCGGCTTGTCTTCTTCGACGACTAAAGGGTCCCATCTATAGAATTACTCGGAGCCTAATACAAAACTCCTATAGTTAGTGTTACTTCTAAATAGACATTTATTATACCTATTCCCTATTACCTAGGTATATAAGGGGTTAATTCCTCAAGTTCTTCATTCTACACATATATCGACTGTGTCTAGAATTCTATTGATGAGTCGAGAACATGATCGTAATAAGATTATATGGTTTAATAACGGACACTACACAAAGGCAAATTCTTAAAAAGCAGAGTGTCGTTTTATAAACCTATATTGAAAGATTGGCCTAGTTGTCTAAAAAAAAAAAAGAAAAAAAGAAAAGAAATATCAAATCAATCCGAACTCGGACCATCATTTCTATTTAACAAATTACACTAGTTAAGTACACCGACACTTGCGTCCCTTTTCGCATCTCCGCGCATGTCTCAGCTGCAGCAAGTCTACTCTAGGGCTTTGCCGGTCTTGCCCATAGTAGCGATAAGGCGTTGGCGTATATGCTCTCCAACAATAGTCTCGACGCCAGACCCGTCGAGGGCCTTACACTTGAGCTTGAGCTGGCCGTTAAGAAACCAAGGGACGGAGTACCTGTGATTGGTGCCGGAGGTAATGACACGGTGGCGTGCGCTGCGATAGTAGCCTGCAGTCCACTTCTGCATCATGTCGCCCATGTTTATCACGTACGAATTTTCCTTGGGCGGCACCGGGATCCACGTCTCCGTCGGCGGGTACCATACCTCCAAGCCCTTCGTGTTCATCTCTTGGAGGAGAATAGTGACGCAGCCGAAGTCGGTGTGGTCACCCACTACTCCTAGTTAGACATGCATAGAACGGTAGAAGAGGTAAGGAATGAGGACATACCGCCAAACTGTCGCTCGTCGAGGACTTCTTGGGGACCGTAGTGCAGCAATCTCATGGGCATAGATGGGTTGACGGCAAGATCATCCATTACGTCAGGAGGATGCCCCCAGGCCTTTGGAAGACCGCGGGAAAGGAGCTTGAGGAGCACTTTCGAGAGCGCAAGCATAGTGGCTTGGTACTCCATGACCGGAGTTCGAAATTCTTCATCTTTGAGGTTCTTGGGCCACAAGTTGGGGCCAGTTGAGAAAGTGCCAGCATCTGGGTGGTCAGCAGGGACCTCGTGGCCGATTGCGAAGCACTGGTTTCATGTCAGTTCTAAGCATATTCTTCACAGTTTCTAAATTCTCATCATTTCGATGTAGTATTAGGCATTGTAACTCATGCACTCACCTCTTTGGTATCTGGTAGGAGACCTTCCTGGTGGGTTTGAATTCCAGGGGGCTCATAGCCGCGGAATGATTTGCCCATCGACTTGCCGATCCAAACATCCATGCGCTCCTCCATGGAGAGTTCGAAGAACCTCCTGGAACACTTGAGGATACTGTTGCGCTTTTCTTCACTCACGCCATGACCGGTGAGGTAAAAGAAACCGTACTTGGTGCAAGCGTGGCGTATGGCGTCGACGACACCGTTCTTGGCCTCCTCAGATGCATTTGGGTCTGTAAAGGGGCTGATGTCCACAGTAGGGATAGCATCGGGTGCTATTTCTGGAATATTCTCGATGCTGCCCATTGTAAATAACAGTTTTGACTACGTGTGTATTATGTTCTAAGGTATTGTCGAGTTGTTATACTTAGGCATTCAAGGTAGACAATCAACGCCTAGTATATAAATATTATTCCCCTTAGTTTCCTACTATATAATCAAGATCACTAAAGATAACTATACTTATTCTAATCGAAACAGCGAGCTGCCGCTGACTCAACTGGATCTTATCTGATGAAGGATTCTACGATCGTATTCCATTAACACAAGTACAGTTTATTCAACACGTTGTAATAGAAACCCCAGGTAGAAGCGTGTCCCGAGGCTCGGTACCGTAAGGTGACATTTCTACCTTTCCTAACAGCCTAGAAACTCCAAGCCGATATGTATGTACGCGTCTTACTAGCATACTGTGGCGTGTTTCCGATAATAGTTATTGACAGGGAATTCGTTTCTCCGTGATGACAAGCTGATCGGCATGGTTAGCTAGCGCAAGAATTCAACCAAACAAGTCGATGCGTAGCAACACTTACCCAGCTGAACACGAGAAACTCCGCACCGAGTCAAGTGGATGGCGATTTACACGAATTTAAAGCTTCTTCTAGATGTTGCATTAGTGTATTAACGTTTTCGTGCTAATATATCACGCGAGAAGTAGCAAGGTCACCCCAGTGAAGGATTCAATTGACGAAAATATTGTATTTCTACGAGACAGAAAGCGAGATGAGGACAGTGTAGAGTTTCTCGCTTTATTGTTGTAGCTGGTCGCTCCATTATATTGCATCTTTCCCTGCCGCTTCAACCCGAATTATCTAATAGATCCGAGGTAGATTTCAGAATCAGGATTTCACAATGACCAAGTACTGTGATAGACCGCTTGAATGTTCATCCCTGGCATTACGAGTTCAGAACATGATTCGAGCGATGCTCTTCTACGCGTAAGCGTTTCTCCGCATCCCAAGATAAAAGCAATATAGATGCAGTAGTATAGTATTCTAGGCGATAGTCTGTCAAATATGGCTGTAAAGGCGGTGTAATGGTATTATACTTTAGAAATATAGGACTCTTATTCCCATCCTCGTACATCGATCTGTCATACTTCACTTGTTTCTGAAACAGACCTAGACCAATATCAATAGACCGTCAAGTAAGTTAGCAAGCTGAAATTCACTCACAAACTATCATAGCCTACCTGTCTATATGATTTGACTGACACTTATCAGCCACAGAATCCGCCAGAACGCCTTCTACCGTGTATCTCTGCGCTATAACACTGTAGTCAAGAGTGACCTCAACCATAATCATGTCGGAACTCAACGATTTTCTGGTTCTATTGCAAGACAAGCCGGGCATGCTGCAGACACGCTTGGGCAATGTACAGGGGCATATAGCCCACCTGAAGAGCCTTATCGAATCCGGTACCGTCGTTATGTCTGGTCCGACTCTTTCCTCACACCCAAAGACTGCTAGCGAGGAGCCCGACGTCAACGGTAGCTCTGTGCTTGTTCGTGCGAACTCGGAGGAGGAGGTCCGCGCCTTAATCAACGACGACGTCTACGCCAAAATCGGTGTCTGGGACCTCGAAAAAATCACAATCATTCCAATTAAGTGCGTGGTGCGAAAGCCTCTATGAGGCGATGTTGTACTTGACGAATATTTAACTGGGTTAGACTTAGACCGCTAAGCTAAGGGTTAGGTACATTTGTCTATGAGACCTTATGTAGTGGTAGTTCTTAGAAAATAGAACGAAGTACATTTTATATTAGTTAGGATACAGCATTAAAATCTGTCTAAGTCTTCCTCCTGGATAGTCAATGGATGAAGGAGATATGAACAGACTAGAATCTTGTCCTGCCATGCGAGTCTTGTTGCCCCATTGATCTCTAGATGATCAAGGCAGGTTTGAAGCCACGCAGTATCTTAAAGAATCACCAAACATTGTGCCTTCTTTTCTCACCGATTCAAAGATGACATAAATGAAATTCATATTGGTTGAGGGGGGAGATAACAGAATTTGCAGGACCGAAATTTTCTGATTTGACTAGCAACGAGATATTTTTAAAAGTTTATTATGATTAATGATATAATTAGAGAAAAGAAGTTTCGTCTACCTCGTGGTCATTTTCAACCTGATGTCATCAGCCTCTCTGGAGGTATAGGAGACCCGACCCTTAATATTTTTCATGATATTGTCCCGCAAACTCCAAACCTGTACAGCCCTAGAATTTTCCAACCGCTTCATCTCTATGCGATAATATATAGTAAGTATCATAGTGTGGCAAGGGGTTCGGTGAAATCCCTCGCATAGTATGTGAGTGTGTCTTGAGAATGTACTGTGAAGTGGCCATCACGCCTTAATGTTAAGCGCCCAGCCAGAGCGGTAGACTCTCAGCGCTGCATACATAAATCCTGACAAAGATGCCGCAGCGCCGCCGAATCCCCAAAGACCATCCCATTGTAAAGGCTTCGTTCCGCCGAGGATAGCTCCAGCTACTGGACCGCCCACCAGAAGACCCAAAGCAATAATACCAAAACCCATGCCTATTCTTGTTCCCAACTTCGACTTGTCTTGGGTCAAAGGTAAGAAGCAGACAGGGGGCATGGCGATGAAAACGCCGCTAAAGAACCCTGCGAGGACTGTGATGGTAATTACCGCGCCTTTACTATTCGCAGCCATGAAACAAAGCATCAGGACACCAGTGATGAGCGAACATGGTGCGACGACGTTAAATGGACCGATCTTGTCCGAAACCGCGTTAGGAACGACTCGACCGAAGCAGGATGCGGCGTTGAAGATAGGAACCATGTAGAAAGAGAGAGCTTCGTCAGTAAAGCCTCGTTCCTGAGGGTAGTACGATATGTAGAAGATGAGGATGCTGAGACCCATAAAGCCGACGAAAGTAGTGATTGTAAAGGCCATATAGGGGATATCGCGGAACGCAGTCCAGTCAATCATAGATCTAGGCTTCGGGGACTTGAATCGCATCCTCATAATACAGATAGGTATGAGTAGAGTTCCTAAGGCAATAAAGCCCATTACACGGACTGACCAGGCATATCCGATCTTGCCTATGAGTTGATACAAGACGACAGGGTATATGATGCCACCGACGGAGGAGCCTGCTGATGCTAGACCAAGAGCAAGACCGAGTTTGGTAGTGAAGTAGGTAGGGATGAGGGATACGCAAGGTACAAACAGCATCCCTGCTCCCAACCCGACACAGAGACCTTGGGCAAGTATAACTTGCCAATATTCCGAACACAAGCTTAACATCATGTGACCAAAGACGATGGCGAAGCTTCCAACAATCAACAGATGTCGAAGGTAGCCCCTATCATAGATGGGGCCGGCAAAAACGCCACCGACTAGAACCATGAAGGATTGAATCGAACCAATCCACGAGATATCCGAAGATGATCGATCGAAGAGCGCACCAGATTCGTAGTATGTCTGGAAAACGCCGAAAGCATTTAGGATACCCCATGTGTTGAAGAACAACATGAAGCCACCGAGCACATGGAGCCAAGCAAGGAGGCCGCCATTGGGAGGCGGTGGGGGGCCCGCCCTTTGCGGCTCTACGGGTGCAGACCGTTCCTGTTTTTCAAGCCCGGCCGGGGATGTTTGGGTCCTGTCATTGGTAGCGTCGGCCTTCTCACTTCCGGCTACGAAACTAGTGTTGGAAATGGTAACATCTTCGGAGTCGCTCATGCGCATATGCTGAGCCTCTGGGTTGAGGGCCATTGCGGCGGTGGTATTGTTGATTATGATAGTACAACTGTCGAGTAAATTGTAAATATAATAAGGAAAAGGGATTGGGGAGACAAGATTGTAAAATACCAGCCGCGTGGTTCTGTAGACTCTTGTGCAGGACTTGGGGAGGGGGGGACTGTGTTTCTTCTATGCTCGGAGCTTCGGAACTAAGACAAATCGAATGAGTGTCTAATTTCTTGTCTTATTTGTTCTTCGTCTATTTGAAGGAAGGGAAAGGGGGTCGGTGACGTGTGTGGTAGATGGCAAAACACGCGCATGTTGAATCAACTGTCTGTCTATACCAAGTGCCGAAAGTTAATAAAGGAGTAAGCAAGTATCCTAGTGAAGATCTAATACTATTTGAAAGAATCTGAAGACACTGACGTGTACTAGATATCCCCCCCCGAAGCTTCTCTACGAGTGGACTACTTTGAGAGTTGTTATTGGAATTCTACTCGCTATTTATAATGACTCAGATAGCTATGGCGCAACATGCTGTCTTGTTACTCCCTATGGCAACCGTAGTAGCGAAAACGAATTTGCAAATTTTAACTCTAGGTCGCTTTGAAAGTATCTCTAATTGTATTGTACATTAGATGTGATGAGGTAGTTAGATGATCGGAAACTCCGAGCCGCAGCTCGGATATCGAGAGACGATAGAGCAAACATATTATCTATTGATGGGCTGATTCGTTCAACTAATAGGTACATCACATTAGGTACGGTAATAGTCTAACGGATTAGGTGAGATCTAAGATCTTCTTGGCAGGGTCTAGTTTAGTTAATTTCCTAAACGGGTAATCGTTGCTGGAAACTTTATGCTTAGAATGGAACTTTATTTCATACTTACACAGTTACAATATAATGCAACAATATATAAGACACTGCATCATCTATCTATTTTTAAGAGATTACTTGTGAGACATTAATGTGCGAGTATCTCACAACAATACCATATCAGATTTAGAAATCCGTTAGCGGATAGCATGTTGCTCATAGTAGTTCCTGATAGATTCTTTATTCCGCGATGTTCGGATCTCCGAGATCCGAGTCGACCATTCTAGACTCCGGTAAACCCGCCGGCTCGGATATAACGGATAGACCCTGCAGTAAATTCATGTATCTTAATGCATTTTACGTACTTACATCTTATTAGATCCTCCAAGTTGTACGAGTCGGGATTGCCTTATAGTTACGACCTACTATATTTCTATAACTTTTAATATACTGTAACTAATTTCGATCTGAGAATGGCTTGCTGTAAGTACCTAAGAGGCGTAGCTTTGATGTTATACTCCGAACTCTAACTACGAGCCGTAAAAATCTCCGGTAATATACCAATATCAAATCGGCGGCTTTCTCTGCGTTCTCGTCTCGGCCGCGGAGGTATCCGTATATTGAGTGCTATGCTATTCAGCAGGTTTCTGTACATACGTTTAGACACCAACATATCTATCATTTGAAACGAAGCAAGGCAATCTGTCTGCACCACATGTCACATATAATATACTGTAGTGACATCACCTATGGCTTTCAGTCTTTCGAGCAAGCAGCTCCCGCAGGCATTCTTAAGACTCAGCGCCACCCGTGAAATAAGTCCTAGATTTCTCTCGACATCCTCTATCATCTCCAATAACTACTTCGCCACTATTATATCATCACCTCACCGGTCTACTAGTTCTACGCAACAGCAACATTCTAGAGGCTTTACGCATATGAGAAGCAAGATGGCCACTAACAGCGCTGCCTGGATCAAAGAGGCGAAAGCCCACCCTTTCGTGGTTGAGTCCGCTCCCGTTTGGATGCCCGAGGCTAACGAGGTTCTTGTGAAGAACCATACCGTCGCTATCAATCCCGTCGATGGATCTCTCCAAGCTGTCGGCTGGTGGCCTCTCGACTACCCTACCGTGCTGGGACAGGATGTTTCCGGTGTTATCAGTGCTGTTGGCCCCGATGTCACTTCCTTCAAAGTCGGCGACCGTGTTGTTGGCCACGCTCTTGGCATGGCCAGCAAACGTAGACAAGATGGCGGCTTCCAAGAGTACACAATTCTGCAGACTAATGTGACAACTTTACTCCCCGATAACATCCCCTTTGATAAAGCTGCAGTACTTCCTCTAGCTCTATCCACTGCCGCCTGCGCTCTCTACCAGGAGACCCACCTAAAGCTTCAGCTCCCTACTGTCCCTCCGCGAAAGCCTACGGGTAAGACGTTGATCGTCTGGGGTGGTTCATCCGCAGTTGGAAGTAATGCCATCCAACTCGCTGTCAACTCCGGCTATGAAGTCATTACTACCGCCTCCCCCAAGAACTTCGACTACGTAAAAAAGCTAGGCGCCAGCCAAGTCTTCGACTACTCTAGCTCAACCATCCAAGACGACCTAATCAAGGCCCTCAAGGGTAAGACCACAGTCGGCGCTCTCGACTGCATTGGAGGTGCAGCTCAAGGAATCCTGCAGCAGGTCATCGCAAACTCCGAGGGAGTAAAGGCTGTGGCGTCCACCAAGCGGGGTTGGCCTGAGCCACCGGCGGGCGTTACTATGTACTCCATCTTTGGCACCTCCCTTAGTGGTAATTTCGTTGGAAAGGCGATTTACAACGACTTCCTATCTGCAGCGCTAAAGGAAGGCACTTTCGTACCAGCACCTGGACCAAAGATTGTCGGAAAGGGCGTCGAGAAGATACAAGAGGCTGTTGACCTAATCAAGAAGGGTGTCTCGGCCACTAAATTGGTTGTCACTCTGTGAGTGGAGGTATACCTGCATAAGTTGAGACAGACGCACGATGGAGGACGCAGTGAAACCTTGAAGGTATCGCTATACTAGCACATATACCATTACCTACTATTATGCTATTAACGCTGAGTATTGATAGTGGTAGTAGACTTGAGTTTAACTGTCGAAAATATTACCTACCTAGATATAGGAAGAAGAAAATTCAATAAGTTATCATGTGCTCCCACGTCCCGCTTTTCAGGTATCGACCGTTTGACGTGCCTTTCTTATATTGCTGTGATGATGGGAACTTGCTCCTCTGAGCTGTGTGGTAAAGAAACTTTTTGTTCGCAAGGGTCAAGCGTCAACCGGACTCCGCACTCATAGATTTCCCTGCCTAGTGCCATCGCGGCAATTGGCTGAGACAGGTTCTAATATATCGGCGGAAACTACATGAGCCTTCCGACTTACACGTACGTGGCGCTTCAAGATAGATATCTCATTGGCCTTATAGATATAACCATAATTTGCAGTTTCACCAAGGGATTGGGCGGAGCCATTCCCGCAGATCATACTGGCAACGCCTCAAACACCACATTTGATATATGTATATGTTTGGTGTAAAGCAAGTTTCTGTAACGATCTTGATATGGTATAAAATGGCAATTACATACGAGTGGATAATATATGGCGGTGAGGTGAGCACCTTAATTAATGTGTGGCTGGCTGAGTCAGGTTAAGGATTAGCTCGCTATCCGTAGCTGGAATTGGCGATCCTTGGGTTGTGCAGCAGCTTTTGTACTACGATTGCTTCGGTGTCAGGTGCTCTAATTATTTTCTGTCGTATCTCGGGTGAGCAGGGGAGGCCATATGTACACGGATGGGAGTAAAGTTCTTGGGCATCTGTCGGTGATGTACTTCTGTAACTATAGAACAACATGAAGTTCAAGTAACACCAAGTTCAGGTAAAGTCCGTAACTCCATCTCATTACTTATTGTCGTCCGAAGGATATAGCGGAGACCGAGTTGACAACTCCGAGATGGGTAGGATCTAGAGGCATATATATCCTTTAGTATCTAGTGCTATTCCATCTATTTCTCTCACTTCGCCTCGGGCTTCCCCAGCTCTAGCAATAGCCTTTACGCCGACGGATCATATTGTAAGAACGATCGCGGGGAGTGGGGAACCATGTGGGGTTATAAGCCCTGTCCTCCCACGCATCAAGGGTCCTTTTGTCCTCAGGTTGTTACTCATGCCCCTGCTCGTCCTAGATAACTTCCTGGTGGTTCCTCATTCACTCCTCTCACGCCCCTAGCTTGAAGGTTACGCCATAGAGGGGCAATGGGTGTAGGTAGGATCTTGGTCGTATAAGCTTAATTGGTATTTTGGTTTTTCTTGTGAAACGAGCCGTGCATTGTGGCATGGGCTGATCGATTTACAGGATCGGTACTAGTGACGTATATAATATACGGCATATGTACTATCTGCCGATACAGTAACCTATTACTTACTCGTATAACCCGTTAATTGCTTTAAAGTATAGTTCTTGGCAACCACCAATATGTATAATACCTAGGAGATCTAAAAATTCAAGATCCCAGAGATATGCAGATAGCACATGGCTACCTAGACTCCTAGTCCAACGGCGTGCATATGTAGGTAGTTAGTTAGTTGTACGTTATGTACACGGAAATGGTCGGGACCGAACCAAAGCTTCACATGGAAATTCTTACCTCATAGTAATCTTTACTCTATAACAATCAAACCAATAGAAATACCTCGCTTCACTTCTTTAGATGTAAAGTACGTAACTTATAGCAACTATGTAATATAACTAAGTCGTTTTTATATACCTCGGGTACAATGCTCTTTTCCAAGCCCACCAATACCACCCATACTATCCATAACTTTGATGACGTTAATTAACCCCTATACTGAGCCGTGTCGGACGGGATCAATTAAGACAAAATTCGCCTTTAAAATATCGCCATCTTCCAAGATCTAATTATTGTCAATTACCAAGTCGCCTCTTACGAAAGTCTACGTTCTTAAATTGTCTATATAGGTACCTAACTAGTCTATCAAGACGTCAGTATCATACCGTTTGTGAACGTCATTGGGCACCAGGATCTGAAGGACTAAACTCGGGATATTATCTTCCTATTGCGGTAATCTCCGTCAGCCCCATCACGTTGTTCCAGATTTGACATGGTCGTGTACTAAGAATTGCATGGCTTGTTCCAGACTATCGTCGCCCTATTACTCAGCCTGCCCTACAGGGCTAAAAAGCACAATGACATGAAATATAATTGGATGTCAGGAACTGCCTATGTACATACAACAGGTTGAGAAGCCCAAGTACCTAGTCAATATTACCCACAGAATTGGCTGGCTAGCTTGTGTATTATGTATCTATCGCGTATCACAAGTGTTGGACAAGACGGCAGGCTGAGCGTAACCATCACCCAAAGAGCCTCAGACATAAAGGGTCATTGGACTCCACAATTATTGCACGAAAAATATATGCAGCCAAGATAGGTACTTCCCGCCACCAGGTCGTACACTACCTAACCCCTATGAGACACAAGCAGACTACCTACCTATGCCGTACAGCTCCCACATTGCTGAAGCAACACGCCGGTTTCTTTATTGACTTACCTTAGACCTTAGGCGGCATGAAAAACGGGCCGTCTTATCTATACACCTAGCTATCCTAGCCGATTTAGTTAGTAACCTTCCTACTATACACTATATGAATGATATTTGATATTACTTACGTGGCTAGTCGAGAAAGTGATGATAGCTAAAAGAGTGGGTTTAATTCGAATTGTCTTCGACGATAGTAACGCATAGCAGTACATAGTTAGTAATAACATGACATGGATTTTTGAAGTTAAGCTTATGTTTCTTAGGGGTACCTTATGTAATAACCAGTTCGAACTACATCGCCAATCCTATGGCGATCACTCAGCCTATAGGGTGAATATCCATCCCGAAGGTATGGATTCGATCCTACGAAGCTTAACTCGTCATCCGTTTACCACCTCTAGTTACAATTTTGGTCAGCAAACCCCCTGAAACCATATGTTCAGGGTCAGCCCAACCATAAAGTCGACTGCGAGTCTTATCCTTAGGAATCGTGTAGGCTACCTAGGTATGTATCCTATCTGTGGAAGACGCCTCACGCATTAGCGGGTAGGTAGCGGCAGAGTCTCTCGGCGGCATCATCACTCATTCCTATAGATACATCACCTTATAGTACTTAGTCCCCACGGCAGGAATTGCTTTTTTTTATACGTAGCTTGTCTTTAATCGAGGAGAATCCCTATAAACTTCTAGCTCCCCAAGACTGTTCCAGAGTAACCAAGTCAAGTCCGACTAGCGTAGAAATTAAAGTCTCATTTTCCTACTGAGATGCCTCAGCCGGTCGACCTCAGCGTTAAGACGTCGACGCCGCCAACACGACAAAACCCAGGTGCAGGTATGATATATGAGTCTCTTAACCGTTCATTATAACACAATATGTCGTCTTATCCTATGCGTACGACATTGATGCCATGTATCTATCCTCTGTGTTGCTAATATACATTTATTATATAGCTTGTGAAGAATGCCGTCGTCGTAAGGTCCGATGTGATCGGCAACAACCTGCATGTGGTCTCTGCTTGTCATCCGGCGTACAATGTCAAGTTACAACCCCTCGTCCTCCTCGTGGTCCCAAGCGCGGCTATTTAAAGGCGCTGCAAGCTCGAATCGGTAGGTGCTGCAGTATCTAGAGTGACATTTTGACCTGCCCCTTGTGGATATAACACGGAATAAAATCGGCTTCGATTCGACTCATGATCAGCATCATGCTAACATGCATATCCCCAATTTAGCTACCCTCGAAGGAACTTTACTCCAACAACAGCATCAAACTTCTAGTAACAGCAATAATACGATATCAATATCTCCCGGAGACACCTCGATTGAAGGCCTCGCATTCAACGACCCCTCACCCTTAACATGGGACTTTACCGTCACTGCTGAAGAAGACGTGGCACTCCGTGATCTATGTCAGGGAACAGGGCCCAGCACAACATCAGGAGGGTCTTCGTTAGATGGGGGTTCAGTCCACGCCTCAACATCGCCTATACAAGGGTTTGAGACTCTTAACGATGGGATGGGTTTCGCGAATACGGTAATAACTCGAAAGATGTCAGAAATCTCAGAGGGGTTAGATGAAATCAACATATCAAATTTAATGCAGGCAGATTTGTAAGTACATTACTCTCGACTCTTGCCCCTCTCTCGCTGTCGTAGCTTTCTTCTTACTTTGGATAGAGATCAGCTCTACTTTGACAGAGTACACATCTTTGCGCCTGTACTACATCAACGCCGGTACTTCTCCTGGGCTCGTAACATAGCTAAGACGGAAGCTCAATCATGTCTCCGCTACGCCATGTGGACCTTGGCTGCATCCGTGTCAGCACACTATCAGAACATCGGCGACTCCCTATATCGTTGTACCAGACAGGCTCTCGAGGCTCTCGACTCGAAATTCACAGGTCTTACGATGACTGAAATGGAGCAAGTCCAAGCTTGGCTCCTACTAGCAATCCACGAATTCATGTGCGTCGATTTTAGCAGAGGTTGGATAAGCGCTGGCCGCGCCTTTAGACTGATTCAACTCAACTGGCATCAATACTCGGATGGGCCGGACGTAAGCTTGACACGGACGGATTGGGTCGATGCGGAGCAAAAGAGGAGGACATTCTGGCTGGCGTACTGCCTGGACCGGTTCATTAGTGTCCGGAATAATTCCCCCATGACTTTTAGCGAACAGGTAATAATGCTCAAACATCCCCAGTAGTTCAGTTTACATCGACTTATTGCTAACTTGCTGCCCTCCTTGACTAGAATAAAACCCGTCTACCGGCGCCAGAAGTAGATTTTCAAAACGAGCAGCCCACTATAAGCGGATTTCTTTCAGAAGCAATAACAGCAGCGGATGATTTATCCACCTCACCATTTGCCGAATGTATCGTTGTCGCAACCGTCGTCGGCCGAGCCCTCAACCACGGACAGCAATCCGTGGTCGATAACATGTATATTCACGAGTCGCGAAGCTTTTGGGAGCGACATGAATGGATCAATTCCACGATGGTACAACGGATGGACATCTTCAACCAGAATCGCCCCACTGCCGCGCAAGAAGCAGATCCGATGCTCCTTTTTATCAGCATGATGTGGCGAACGACGGTACTCTATATGTATCAACTTATTAAGTCTGTGATACACCCCGGGGACGAAAAGAGATCTGTCTTGGCGGATTACACCAGACAATCTATAACAGCCGCCAAGGAGATCGTGAATCTAACTAATAAATTATCACAATTGAATTCTTTCAAGGTTAGTCCAACTACCTATCTACAGTGTCTATCAACACTCAACATCTGTATGCTGACAGTCTCAACTAGGTACATCCACTTACACCAATACCATTATCGTTATGCGCCGAGTTTTTCGTCACTTACCACGAGCTGGGCGATACGTACGGCAAACAGCTCCAGGAAATTACAGAAGCCATGCACGGCTTAATGAGTTTTAGTAATCTTGGACCGGGTCTTAATTCCTACGCCAGGTAAAGAGGAAATCTTGTATATAGTGTGTATTGCAGTCTCAAACTGTATAATTTGACTTTGGTCGTCAATGTGGTCAATGTGGTCGGTAATGATTTCTTGAAAGTTTTTGGATGGGCCATGATTACAGACAAGACAACCAACGCTAGAGTAGAAGAGTCCCGAGACAAAAAGCAAATACCAAACTATTGTATTAATGATTTTATTTTTCCTGTGTCTTTTCTTTCTTTGGCAAGATCATCTTCCACCTTACAAGCTGAGTTTGAAACTTTTAGGTAGTTAGCTTAACTAGTACAACAAAGATATCCCCGTTTACAAGACGTTATATTAGGACGAGGATGGTTACGTCAAGTCCAAGACCCTAGCCATGTGAATCCGCCGTATGTATGTCTGATAGATTTAGTAATCTATCATTCAAATACCAGATTGCCAAGCATGAGGATCCCCAATTAACTCATTTAGATTATAAAAGTAATACTTTATCTTTTTCTCTAATGTTGTAATATAGCGTGATTTAATTGCTTTCGTTTGCTGATATGATTTGTCCGAGTTTACGAGGGCTTATTGTGTCGAATTTTTTCCACGGCCAAAATAGGAAATGTTTCTTCGCCCAAATAGGAAAATAAAAGGAGGACAATGAGCAGTATATGACATGTGCAAAATTAAAACTCGGGCTATTGTGCCGGTAGAATATATCTAGTTAAAATGCCTCAATTATCTTGTACTTTGTTCCTTACAGGCTACTAGAATATAGGTACCTAACAGACGAAGCTTTTGTGTAACATTATTTCTACAGCGCCGCACAACGCGTGGTTTAGCTGCAAGTAAGTCTTACGTACATAAAGGATGAAGGAGTAAGGGTAGAAGAGTAAAGATCTACAACAGAGCATCAGATTAGGTTATATCGGTGTATTTAATGAGCTAATATCCGCGAAACGCGTCGGTACCTACCTATCAATATGAGCGGGCATCGGTCTTAAGTCCCAAAGATGCTCCGTTGCATCTTAGGTACCTACCTCTAAGATATAAACGTTATCTACCTATCATATGTACCTACCTAGGTAGGTATGTATGTACATAGGTAATTATCATGAGGTTATAAGCGGGTGCCAGTGATGGGGCTACGCTACTGCTGTGTAACTAACGCTATATTGGTGTATCAGCCAGCGGTTACGGCAATGAACTTGCTGACCACCTATTAGCTGGACCGGGCCGTTAGAGCTAAGAGCTTTAGCGACATCAGAGTAAAAATTAACCCGTATTTTAAATGCACCCGCTCTACACTGCGATATAACGTAATATATGTATCTGGCATAGAACTTGTAGTAAGCCGTTCGCGTTATTTTCCGACGATGATTGTTAATCATGATCGTGTATATATCGAAGAAAAAAAAAGGATTTAAGTTCCTGTATGATGGGAATAAAATGTATTTTTAGTAGATAGAAGATACCTAGGTACATAGGTACCTAAGCTAGACATATCTCAAAAGTACCTCCATAACATAACCTATAACTAAACAACATTGTCATGTAGGTACTTTGATGCATTAAAGCCAATCGATTTCTAAGCGGTGGGTATATTTTATCGCTAACGATGTCTTTTCTAGTTCCATTCATGTGTATGTATGTCTCTATTGCTAGAGCTTCGTATCGTACAACTATTAAGTACTTGGCATGCGGCTCGATCTTGGCTAACACGCCTCACCCTATAATCCTAATGTCTCGAAAAAAAGAAAAGCCTTCGTTTTGGTCCACATAGTCAAGTACATTAGCTAGGTACATACCGCTCTTTTTATTCCACTAAGGAAAATCGACTGTCTAAAATAAAAACTGCAATTAACTAATGTGTCTATTGGATGTAGATAGTGATGTGACACGATCAGTGAATATCCATCCCAGGCCGGTCTAATTTCACCCAAGTACTTAACTCGTGTATATTTCAAAGTCTACTATAGGTATAATGATATGGTGCATGCAAGGCTCACCTAAATACAGTTTAATGTTGAGACTTGGCATTATCAGGGTGAAAGAGACAAGAGTCGACCTGGCCAATGGCCCAGAGAAAATATGTGAAAATTGAGACTCTATTCTCTATGCTATGTCTAAGTTTTACTTTACTTATTAAACCACAGTAGATTTTCCTATTTAAATATGTGTCTTAATATCTCATATGAAATTTTCCTACTTTTTACGATAATGCTTTTTTACTTTTATTTTATGTGTACATTGTGTGTGTATATTTGACGTTGTAGCTCGCCTCCGTGGGGGCATACGGTTTATATGGTTACTTTTCATACATCTAACCTTAAGAGGCATATATAATCATGTAAGCCCTTCATGCTTTGATCACAATATAGAGGTCCTCCAGGCCTCTTAGTCGAAAATATTCTCTCTTAGGTCGAAGGTATTACTACGATAAAACTAAGGATATTTTACTACTTATCCTCCGTACTACTAACTTTTGTTAGTGAGGATATAGTCTTCTGGTAACTACAAGAACTTATCTTATGTATACATTATGCAATCGAAAAATATTATTTTATAAAAATATATTGCCCTGTAAACCTCAGGCTTTTGTGTTACGGGGGAACCCCTTATGGTGATATCAAAAGGTGCACGTGCATACTACCCCTTTTTATATAATAATCCCATTGTGACTGCTCGACTCTGATCTCTTTCCCGTAAAAAGTAAGCGTGTAATATACACTCTTATTCTATAGTCTAGGAGATATGATTTCTTTACATTATGGACCCGGAAGGCATGATGTAATAGATAAAATATATGTTCCCAGGTACGTAGCTAATTCACATGCATGACTATATATCTAGGTAGGTAATTACATTGCTATTTATACCCCACATGAGGAGACCGGTATAAATAAACATATGCAAACTAGCAAGACACAAAGCCATCTACTGTTCTGAAGCAGCAATGATCCTCGGTAGAAGCTGGCTAGTAATGTTCCAAAGCTCGGAAGATCCGGTAGCTAAGAGTGAGCCGGTGTACCAAGTGTTGCGGTAACCCTGCAAGGCGTATATGTCGCGGTATATGCCCTTGCGAATAGCGTCTGCGCTAGTAGTTGGGTGCAGCGGCGTGTGGCTCTTATAAGCCACGAACTGCGGCTCGGCATTCACATCTGCACCATCAACCGTCTTCTGTAAGAGCTTGAGCGTGTCGCGCGTTTTCGTCTCCACTTGCTCCTTTGTCAGGTCTGAGAAGGATGTATACCAGTAATAATATGTCCCGTCTACCTTTGTCGGGTTAAACATTACGACTCCCGGCACACTCGCTACATGGTATTCCGTTTTCTGTCCTCGATTCGTATAGCTATAGTTCGTCGGTAGCCCTAAGTTTGTCACGACTCCTGTGTAGTAGTGTCCCCCCTCGAACTGCGATATGATGTTCGTTTCCCGCTCATCTAAGCTGAATGGCTCTAGGTTCTCCAATACGAATGGTGCCGAAAATACCAGCTGCTTAGCGATGACACGTTTTACCCCCCCTGGAGTCGATACGCAGAGCCTCACGCCGTCGGCGGGCTTACTACCTCGTTGGCTTCCGGTCACGGTAGAGTTAAGAAGAACATCGGGACCGAGCTGGGATAATGCTTCAATATAAGGCTCAGCTACATCGCCGTTAGAATCAACAATGATCTTGGCCTCGAGCTGTTCTTCTAACATAGCCGTGTCCATGTTATTGAAGACATACAAGGCGAGAACTTTAGTTGGATCACCGGGGATAGCCGGCCTGGAGTACGTGGCGATAGCATCATCGGTAAGATTAAATTGTACCAAGTACTCAGCCCAGGTCAGGAGCAACTCTTCAGGCACTGGATCGGGCAGTTTGAGGCCACCTTCCAGATAGGGGTACTTGTGAAGTGCCTGGAAGTAGTCTTCACCAGCAGGAGGGATGGAGTAGTTTAAAACAGGTGAGCCGTCCGTGAAGTCAATATATAGTGGAGTCTTGCCATTGGGGAATGTGCCCCCGCTAACAGTTATATTGAGAAGGGTGAAAAAGGAGCGGCTGATCTGGTCATCATGATATAGTTGAACGCCGTAATTGATAGGGGTTCCTGTTGTAGGGTCATGGTATGTGGAGGCGTGACCGCCTAACGCTCCATGTTTCTCGATGACGATAATAGACTTGCCCTGGTCTTTAAGGTTGATAGCCGCATAGGTACCTGTCGCACCTCCGCCGACGATGGCAACATCGCGAGTTATCACCTCGGCACCTTTGCATTGGGCGTAAACATCTCTCGCCAATACCGACGCAACAAGAGATAAGCCGCTACCCAACTTAATCGACTTCATTTTAAAATGATTTGACTCGATTTCGTCTAAGACTAAGAAAGGGAGATGGATGACTTCGCCAGGAATGTGTAACTAGCTTGGCTCGCGATGGGTTTGGGAGTTGGAGTTGCTTTACTAAGATGGATATTCATATCCCATTTATAAGGCCTATCCCTCCCCCCCCCCCCCCCCTCCCTCCCCCTCCTCCCCTTTTTAGAACCTCATATCGACATATCATTTTGGTGCGATGCTACCGAGGAATATGGCTACCTGGCAGGCAGCTCGGCCGAGCGTTCTTTGTCAAACCTAAGTAACGCCTATCTTGTGACGCAGTATGCTTACCTGAGCTGTCAATGGCCCGTTGGCAATGAGAAACTCGTGTGGCTTAATAGCTGACATTTTCCATGCCAAAATAGAAAGATAAACTCGTCAAAAAGGTTACAATAGGTGCAATCAACCGAAGAAATCTATGGCGTTCGCCGACTCAAGGATCAAAGTGGGGGGGTGGCATTGTGATTACCTAGTTCTGTGGTAACTTCGGTGTCATCTTGCATCAAGCTGAAGAATCTCAAATGTTAGAATATCTATGTCGAATACTCTTCTTGTTACTTCCGGAGAGGCTCTTCAGGGGTAATTAAGCCTATCGCATTTTATATTAACATTTATTAAACATATCTTTACATGATACACTTCGGACTAACTTGGCGGTATTCGGGAAGGAAAGGCATATGCTTCTAGGTCAAATTCTATATTATGTTGCGCCATTGTGTCACGCCTATTGTTATCAGTTACGTAGGATGTACTTATAAAAGTTGGCAGTGCAGCATAGAGCCTGTTGACTGGTCTAGAGAAAAGGTAACACAGCGTTCATCGGCTGCGAGAGCTCGGACCCGAGATCAGGAAGATATATCCAGACACCATTGATCACGATCACAAGACCAGAAAGAGCATTTTCAATACGCAGGTGAAGTAAGTCTCCTAAAATTTTACGTTGTTTATGACCTCGAGAAAAAATGTGTGTGTTTGTGATAGGATTTTAGCATGTCTTAGAAGCGCATTCCATTCCACAAGATCTGTTACACGAACACGATGTGGCTTTTCAGGATCTTCAATAGACGACGCGGGGCCACTTGGAGATTTCAAGACTCAGCCTTATAGAAAAATAAGCCCTAGTTTCTAAAGTTCCTCGTGTAAATTGTTAGATAATATCAAGCCAGTCATACACCGTATAGTCGTTCCACAAATTATCTACAGCGACAAGCGGCTGATAAGTTACAATCAGTTAACATACCAAGTTACTTGAGGAGTATAATATGCTATTTTAGTCCGCCAATCTATTTTACAGATCGTCTAAGAAGCTATGATACTTTATCATAGCTTTGGGGCACTCTAGGTTATACCTAGGTAGGTACCTTAGGTAGTCATCAAGCAAGACTTGGTTCGTCAGCAGAAACATCTTACTATAAATGTTTACCTTTCACCCTTTTATCTTATATGCCCATTACTAGTAGGTAGATCTACTCCTGAATCTACCCCTAAATCATTTATACCTATGTATAAAAAATTCATTTTTACTACTTCTTGCAAGGCAGGAAAAGCTCGCAAAAAGGTAATAAGGCATATGTCCCGAATAGGAAATCTTTACTCGCATTTCACACAATATCCTAAGGCAAATAAATCTTAGGCATTAGCAATAATTAATATTTCATTCGTTTAAACCTAACCCTGTAGTGATAATATAACTTAAGTGGGCAGTCATGTTATGAAAATGGGATATTATAGGGTATATTCCGTCACCTGGGGATAACCTATAGTCCATTCCGCAATACCAGCAAGGGATAAAGAAAATGTAAGTCAACATGGATTATGGCTTGTAATTAGTGTCACAATTATCATGCACCCCAGATTCCGATACCATGGATCAAGGGCAGCATTACTACATGCAAGCATATTTGCCATGTGCTTCTCGTTTATATCTTACAACAATAATTCTGTGGTAGTAGATGCCAAGTGTTTTGAGCGGTACGAACCCCAAGCTTCTATTACATAACATTCATAACTTTGTCTACATTATACTCAAGTAGCTTTAAGGTGTATATTACACGTACCTTGCTAGATATAATCGATTGAGATGCTGGTAATGCAAACTCGCGAAGCTTACCTATATATTAGTTAGTTAGTAGCAAACTTGCAAACAAACAGCCTTGATAATATGACAAGGTCATAAACTTCGATTTATAGTACATCTAGATACATAATGTAATAAAGTCTAAGAAGTTGCAGACACTCAAAGTTTCTATGCAAAAATATTTCGGGTGTTCCCACTAGTTATAGGAAACACTACATTGCGTCTGATCCCTTCAACGCAGATTGCCTCTTTGCGTACTCCTCGATAGTTCCTTTAATCATACTATCGTAATCATAATGCCAAATTTTGAATGAACGGTCTCGAATCTCTTCAAAGCACGTCTGGGCTTTGATCCACTTGCTCTCGTCGCCCCAGTCGGGCTGTTGAATCAAGTCACACATACGACGGCTGCTGTTGACAAGCCACTGGCCTCTCGTTCGCCGCATCAAATCGAAGACCTCGAATGCTATGCAAATTGCTGCATTTTTCTTTGTTGACGCCGATTCATCCCCTCTCAGAGTGTCGTTGACTTGGCTCATTAATATACATAAGCATAGTACGTCTTCAATACCACAACAGGCACCAGCGCCATGGTGTGGGGTTGATGCGTGCGCAGCATCGCCAGCCAAGCAGATATTTCCTCTGTTGAAGTAAGGCGCCGGATAGTCCCACATGTCGAAAACCGCCCACTTCTCAAGTTTCTCTGGGAAGTGTTGTATGAGAGCATTGACACAAGGATTCCAGTCTGCGAAGTGTTTCTCCAGATCTTCCCTAAGTGCCGGTACGACCGTTACCTTGTCGTCTGGCCATTCGTTAGGATCTGATAGAAAAGCTGTGGCGTTGATCATGGTCTGATTCGCAACCGGGTAGTGGATGAGATAGGCGTTTGGTCCTATGTGATTGTGCTGGTTTCTGGCTTTATACTCTCCCAGAGCCTCGATGGCCTTTTCCATTGGAACTAGGGCCCGATAGGCAATCTTTTGGGTATAATGAGGATGAGAAGCCGGGTTATCTTCCCCTAAAATAAGTTGCCTTACTCGCGACTTGATACCATCACACCCAATCACTTAAACAGACCTCCCGGGTTAGTAGCTATAATATAGTTTTAGAAATTTATATAGATGGGTATAGAAAACTTACCAGCGTCGGCTTCCACAGATGTCCCATCTGAGAAGTTAAGCTGAAGCCTCCCATTGGGTCCTTTCTCTTCGATGTTATTCAGGCGCTTCTTCAGCTCTACAATCTCCTGCGGTATGACCTTTACTAAGGCCTCCAAGAACTGATCACGCCGCGTTCCCTCAAAGCCTCTGTAGCCCGCATTTAATTTGTAAAGCATCTCCTCGTATAAGGGGTCGTCCTTTCGACGGCTATTGTAGCCGTCAATCCATCTGAGGTAATCATTTGGGTCATTCTTATCTGAAGAAGTGGGAACAGAGCCACCCGATCTCAGAGCACTAACGATGTCGGGATTCACCAGACTCATACATCGTATGGCATTGGCTGTAAAAGCCATGCCAGCACCTATCTCCCGGAAACTTTTCGCTTGTTCGTAGACTTTGACTTTAATATTGCGTTTGATAAGACCAGCCGCGAGGGATAGTCCAATGACGCCACCTCCAACTATGGCGACATCAATCGAAGTATCCTTAACTATTCCTGGCATAATGATAGTGTATGACATAATCCTGCCAGCGAGCTTTGCTTCTGTGAAAGAAATAATTTAATGGGCTTCGATTACAGACGGGACGGTAGAACACCACGTGGTAGAAGAAGGGTTCTGGAAACTATATCATAGTATACCTAGCTTTTCCTTTGTGAGAATAAGTAGCATGGTGGCTGAGTCACGATACTGGTTCTAGTAGTGATGCTCACTAATCGTCCTAAATCGAATCCTTTGCTAAGACATAATACGCAATGGAGTCTTACACCAGGAAATATGTGACGGAGTAACTAGCTTCCCGGTGAACAATATTCCGCGAATTATACCGCAACCGGGCCGTGCATTTATCTGTCAGCCAGCCACAGCTTTACGGCCTAAGCCGTTGATATGGGCTTCGCATGAAACAATGATAAATATTAGTTAGGCTCTTAAGCTGAGTCCTACTAAAATTGCTTATTGCGTAAAGTCAACATCGCTTTTCAATAGACCATCCCTATATATTTCGTATAGTTTATATGATGTTTCCGGTAGCTTCAGATTAATCTACCGGTATGATATAGCATCGGATACTAGATCGACTTCGAAGTACCCGAAACCATGTCTGATGGGTTTCAAAATATAGTACGTAAAGGAGAAATGACGACAAAGACAATGCATAGAGCGTTCAGAAGCAGTTCTACACCCTTGGAATCCGGAAACTAGTGTAAAATAAACCCGAAATCCTTCTTGGTTGAGTAACTCCTAGAGGATGACAGTAAGATGAAAGAAAAAGGCTCAAATAGTATTGTTAGCGGAGTTTTTATCAAACATATCCTTGGACCCTAGCACCTAGGACTGGTATTGCAACTTGATTCGTACTTACCTATCCACTCTAGCTCATTAGGTTCTTGCGGATATCATTTCTCTGTCCAGGATCGTTCGCGTACGACTTCCACACATGCTATCTCTTATCTTGTGTTGCTCACTAGTAAAGCCTTGAATATGTGTAGCGGTTAACGATTTTCCGCCTTTATGTTCTTCCATATTGCGCGATCTTCATACATCCCTCCTTAGCGGGCCATAGACCTACACTTACGATCCATTAGCACATACACGTTGTGAAACACAGTACCCAAGATAAGCTGGCAGTCCGATGTAACTACTTTACCTTTCTCCAGGGCCGAAGGTAACGTAGGTTAGTCACAAGCTGAATATAGGGTGGCACTTTACCCGACCTAGCCTTACCGTCTTTATCGCCCTACCTTATACCTTACTATATCTATTGCTTGACCTTAGATTCTAGATCCGGAATTTTCAAAACATGTGCGGCCGGATAGTCTCTTGCTCATTTCCTTACATGATATAATAGAGACTTCAGTGGTAACACAATTTAACTTATTTCCTTTATTGTTGGCCAATACTCCCTCACCACCAGAACACATTGGTGTAGCGCCTTCATATATTCTAGTTTCAGACTTGGAATCCTGTATTATTATTAGACGTGCTGTGGGCGTGATTGTCCTATAGGTCACTCACACGAACGCGGATTTCAACACTTCATCTGACAATTCTAATTCAACTTTCCTTCAACAACATTCATCGACGACCACCATGATCGATATGGGAGACCGTCTAAGAGGCCCTTTCTCTGGACCCACGATCCTGCTATTCGGTCCGCTCGCTTTGTCTTTCAACGAGGTGTCTTTCGGCCAGGTCCGTAAAATAGTAACCGATAACGACGAGTTCCGGTGGGCTATCGACACCGTTTCCGAGTTCCCTCAAATATGGAAGTCTCTCACCACTTTTATTCCCAGCCTCAAGACCGCGTCGGCACTTGATCAACTGGAGGACCTGAGTGGTGCCTTTCGAACAGGGCGGCCACTCGAAATTTCCTTCGCTCTTCCGAATAAACTTCTCATCCCACTGGTTATCATTTCCCATCTCACCCAATACGCCACATTTCTGTGTAGCAGAACTGAGGGGCAACACATTGACCCATTCAATGCATCCGGATCAGACAGAGAGACCCTCGGACTTTGTACCGGACTTCTGAGTGCCTTCGCTGTTTCTAGTACAGGCAACAAGGAAGACTTTAAGAAGTATGCCGCCGTCGCTGTGCGATTAGCCATGCTAATCGGCACTGTCATCGATGCCCAAGACGAGGTTGCCGAGCCCTCAAAGTCCCTTAGTGCTATATGGAACTCTGTAGGAAGTGGCGAGGAGCTGCAACGTATTATGAAGGGCTTTCCAGGGGTGAGTCCAACTTTACTTATCACACCAATGGGGGAAACTCCTTAGAGTGTCACTGTCATCCCCCTTTTTGTTGCTTTATGTCTAATTTGACGGTCCAGACGTACATTTCAGTTAACTATGATGAGAACCGCGCCACCATCACAACGAAGGCTTCGGCTATTCCCAAGTTGCAACAACAGCTGAGGGGTGCTGGGCTTATCGCTTCGGAAGTTGGTCTTTATGGACGCTTCCATGCTGACATCAATATCGAGAAGTTGGTATTACTCACAGAGTTTGTTGACACTCACGTCGAGTTCCAGTTCCCAGATGCTACATCAGGCCTTGTGCTTCCCACCCGGTCAAACTGCGGAGGCGAACTAATCACGCGGGGTCCGCTGCACCATCACGCGTTACAGTCCATCTTAACAGAGGCACCACGGTGGTTTCAAACCATGTCCACTGTCCGTGATAATGTTCTGAAAAACAAGGACTCGTACATATTATCCTTCGGCCCTGAGCGCGCCGTGCCGCCATCAATTTTTCGTGATCTCAATTCTCAGGTATTACATATGGCTGATTTGGAGAGCACGGCTTCGCGATGCGATGCCTTCTCTGAGATCGATCTGCGACCATTCTCCGATAATGACGTTGCCGTTGTGGGTATGTCAATCAAAGTGGCCGGCGCCGAGACCTTAGATGACTTCTGGGACCTTTTGGTCTCCGCCAAGTCACAGCACAAGGAAGTACCAAAAGAGCGTTTTTCTTTCGAAACTGCTTTCCGCGATGTTGACCCCAAGAGAAAGTGGTTTGGAAACTTTATCGAGAACTACGACAAATTTGACCACAAATTCTTCAAGAAGACCCCTCGGGAAAGCTCAAATATGGATCCTCAGCAGCGTCAGTTCCTCCAGTGCGCCTACCAAGCTCTAGAACAGTCCGGCTATTTTCATTCTCCAGAGCCAGACACCCAAATAGGTTGCTTTGTTGGCGTCTGTTCCCGCGATTATGATTGTAATATCGCTTGCCATTCGCCTAATGCATTTTCTGCCACTGGTAATCTACAGAGTTTTATCTCTGGTAAGGTTAGCCATTATTTTGGTTGGACTGGTCCTGGCTTAACGATCGATACGGCTTGCTCCTCTTCAGCTGTAGCTATCCATCAAGCCTGCCGTGCGATAATCACCGGAGAATGTACCGCTGCCCTTGCTGGTGGCACCAATATTCTCACCAACCCCTTATGGTTCCAAAATCTAGCCGGGGCATCATTCTTGAGCACAACTGGCCCATGTAAACCATTCGATGCTAAGGCAGATGGTTACTGCAGAGGCGAAGGAGTAGCTGCAGTATACCTAAAGAAACTATCTGCTGCTGTAGCTGATGGTGATCAGATCCTTGGTCTCGTCGCAGCAACAGGTGTGCAGCAAAATGAAAACTGTACTCCTATCTTCGTCCCGAATTCACCGTCTCTTGCGGATCTATTCCAAGCCGTTACTAAAAGGGCTCGACTCCACCCCTCTCAAATATCAGTTATCGAAGCCCATGGCACCGGTACCTCCGTTGGTGACCCGGCCGAGTACGATGGCTTACGACAAGTGTTGGGTGGCCCTGCTTCTGGGCGGAATAACGATATTCTTCTAGGATCGGTGAAGGGCCTCGTCGGCCATACTGAGGCCACGTCAGGGGTCGTCTCCATGATAAAAGTCATGCTTATGATCCAAAAAGGGATGGTCCCGGCCCAACCTGGCTTCACTTCTATGAATCCGGCGATTGGGGCAACCCCAGCCGATAAAATGAGTATCCCTACGAGTTTACAAAGTTGGGACACCAAATTCCGAGCTGCCTTGATCAATAATTACGGCGCCTCCGGTTCCAACGCTTCAATGATCCTCACGCAATCCCCATTTATTAATACCAATATAACAAAAGATACCTCAAAGGTTCCGATCAGTGTCAAGTATCCATTTTGGCTCGCTGGTTTAGATGATCAGAGTCTCCGTCGGTATAGTAAGGCTTTCCGCAAGTTTCTCATCAAAGAAAATAACCCGGCAACGGACTTCTTCCTATCTAATATTTCTTTCAACTTGGCCCGTCAGAGCAACCGATCTCTTGACAAGGCAGTCCTTTTTAGCGTGCGTTCAATAGAGGAACTTGACCAGAAGCTAAGTTCTCTGGAGAGAGGGGATTCCGGCATAACACCCATTGCCCGGCCTAGTCCCAAACCTGTTGTGCTCTGCTTTGGGGGTCAAGTATCGACTTTCGTAGGTTTGGATAAAGGCATGTACGAAAGAATAGCTGTTCTGCGAAAACATCTAAATAATGTCGATGCGGTCGTTCGTCTGAATGGCGCAAGGAGTATCTTCCCTGGAATATTCGAAAATTCACCTATCAAGGATACTGTCCAGTTGCAGACGATGCTCTTTGCTATTCAATACTCCTGCGCACGATGTTGGATAGAATCGAGGATTAAGCCTGTAGCAGTGGTCGGCCATAGTTTTGGCGAACTCACTGCGCTCGCCATCTCGCAGGTGCTCTCACTAGAGGACGCTGTGAAATTGATAGTACACCGTGCGACGCTTGTCCGTGATGCCTGGGGCAGTGAAAAGGGCGCCATGATGGCTGTAGAGGCTGACTTGGACGATATTGAGAAACTACTTTCGGAGTCGAACGGCAAAGTTCCGCAAGAGAAACCCGCAAGCATTGCCTGCTACAATGGACCACGAAACTTTACTCTAGCCGGTTCTGTCGCAGCAATTGACGCAGTTGCTGCTACTATCTCACCGTCGCTGAGATCGAAGAGATTGAATGTAACAAATTCGTTTCATTGCACCCTCGTTGATCCTCTGATTGAGGCCTTGGAGCAAGTTGGGAAGACGCTTACATTTCGTAAGCCGTCTATTCCCATAGAAAGAGCTTCTGAGTTCCCTAATCAGGAGAGGTACACAGCCAAGTTCGTTGCCGATCATATGCGTCATCCTGTCTATTTCGGTCATGCCATTGAGCGACTCTCTAAGCAGTATCCATCTGCCATTTTCTTGGAAGCTGGTTCCAACTCCACCATTACCTCTATGGCGAGTCGTGCGCTTGGTAGTCCCGGTGATATTCACTTCCAAGCTATTAACATCACGAATAGTGATAAAGCGTGGGATAACCTAGTTGATGCGACCGTAAACTTGTGGAAGGCTGGTGCAGCTATACAGCACTGGGCGCACCAGACTGCCCAGACGAAAGAGCATTCTCCTCTTCTGCTACCACCATACCAATTCGAGCAAGCAACCCACTGGCTAGAATTTAAGGTGCCTCCCAAGATAGCCACGGCTTCTCCGGCACACGCGACTGGTCCGGAAAAGGGGAGGCTCCCAGATAACCTCCTAACCTTTGTTGGCTATCAGGATAGTAAGAAACGGATTTCCAAGTTTAGGGTGAATACTATGATCTCTAAGTATGAGAGACTCGTTGTTCCTCACGTTATCGCGCAAACTGCGCCCATCTGTCCAGCTACCGTGCAGCTTGACCTCGTCATCGAGGCTGTTCGTGGTATTCGATCGGATCTGGAAACAGCTAAACTGGAGCCACAGATACATATCGTAGAAAACCAGTCACCCATTTGTATCAACCCAGCACGGGCTGTTTGGATTGAGCTGGAGGAGGAAGGAACAAGTAAAAATCCATCCTGGAACTTTCGGGTCTTCAGCACGGACGTGCCTCAAGGAGCTGCTAAGACTCTGCATACGACGGGTAGAGTTACCTTCTACTCAACAGAAGATTTAACATTGAAGCTGGAGTTCGCGCGTCTTGAGCGACTTATTGGACACGCTCGCTGCGTTGAGCTGTTGCGGAGTGGTGATGTTGACGAAATCCTATCGAATAAAAACATATACAAAATATTCTCAGAGGTTGTTGACTACGGTGAAGATTATCGCGGTCTCCAGAAGTTGGTAGGCTGTGGAAACCAGTCCGCTGGTCATGTTGTTAAGAAATACAATCCTGAGACCTGGCTTGATGCTCACTTAGCCGATAGTTTCTGCCAAGTTGCTGGTATTTTCGTTAACTGTATGACGGACAGAGCCTCATCTGACATGTACATTGCCAACGGCATCGAACAATGGATCCGCTCTCCCAAACTTCGTCCTGGCGATGCAAGACCGGACAGCTTCCATGTGCTCGCAACTCATCACCCTTCAGACAAGCAGTACCTCACCGACGTGTTCGTATTCCATCCGGACACCGGCGCGCTGCTGGAAGCTATCCTCGGAATCAGCTACGTGAAGATTCCCAAAGTCTCGATGAGTAAGCTCCTTTCGCGTCTTACCGCCGGAGGTGCTACAGCTGCTGGGCCATCCGAGCCAGCCAAGGTCGCATTGTTCGAAGCTGCACCTACGGAGATTGTTCCACCGGGTCCAGTCTCTACGAAGGGGTCCAAGCCACGAAAGGTTAAGAAGCAGTCGCCTAAGTCAAGTATAGTCCCCAAAGTTAAGGAGATTTTAGCCGACCTGTCTGGTCTCGAATTAGACGAGATCAAGGATGATAGTCAACTTGCTGATCTTGGCATCGACTCTTTAATGGGTATGGAGATGGCACACGAGATCGAGGCGGCTTTCAAGGTAACGCTGCCTGAAAGTGAGCTTATGGAGATTGTCGATATGCCTGGCCTGATGAAATGTGTGCAGAAGGCAGTAGGTGGAGATTCCGCTAGCGAGACAAGTGAGCAAAGCGAAGATGATACTTCCAGCGACAGTGATGCCAGGTCGTATAGCATTAGCGAAACATCGTCAGGGCATCCAACCGGTCTGACAACTCCAGCAGCTGATTACGACAAGGATTCATACGACGTTCTAAGTGCTTGTGATGAAGAGTTGAAGCTTCCTTTCGCCACGGTTATGCAGGCCTTCAACGAAGTGAAAGCTCTGACAGATGACAAAATCGCTGAACATGGGCAGGTCAACTATTTTGACACGGTGATGCCATTACAGACAGATATGTGCGTCGCACTCACACTCGAGGCATTCGATCAGCTCGGACAACGTCTTCGCGAGGCGAAACCAGGGGATAAATTCAGTCGAATTTCCCATCCGAAGGAGCATGGTCGTTTAGTTGACTATCTGTACCTAATGCTAGAGAAGGAGGCTCACATTATCAATGTTAGCGGCGACACTATTACCAGAACTACCACGGCAGCGCCGGTAAGGCCGAGTAAGGAGATTCTACAGGAGTTACTAGCACGTTTCCCCGATCAGGCAACAGCCGATAAACTTACATTTTACACTGGATCAAACCTCGCAGAGGTCCTGAAAGGAAAGACTGATGGTATCAAATTGATCTTTGGTACTCCTGAGGGGCGTGAACTCGTCTCTGGCTTGTACGCAGAATGGCCTTTAAATCGGTTGTTTTACAAACAGATGGAGGACTTTCTTGCAAGACTCTGCTCGAAGCTTGATATGAACGAGGGCCCGCTTAAGATTCTTGAGATGGGCGCAGGCACTGGAGGTACAACCAAGTGGCTCGTCCCCCTCTTAGCTTCATTGAACGTGCCAGTCGAGTATACATTTACCGATCTTGCACCGTCGTTCGTAGCCGCCGCACGGAAGAAGTTCAAACAGTACCGGTTCATGAAGTTTAGAGCTCACGATATCGAACAGGCGCCGGCCGATGAATTAATTGGAACCCAGCACATTGTTATTGCTAGCAATGCTGTTCATGCCACCCATTCTATTGCTGTTTCCGGAAAGAACATCCGCAAAGCACTACGGCCTGACGGGTTTCTTATGATGCTTGAGATGACCGGTACATTGTATTGGGTCGACATGATCTTTGGATTATTCGAGGGTTGGTGGTACTTCGACGATGGGCGTACTCATGCCGTCACACACGAGCTTAGATGGGAGAAGGATCTTCAAGCCGTTGGTTATGGACATGTCGACTGGACGGATGGGGACCGGCCAGAAAATAAATGCGAGAAGCTGATTATCGCGATGGCTTCGGGTGAGAGGTGCGAACGGTCCCCAATTCCCTCCTCTCTACCTAACAAGAGTCTATCAGCTGACCTGGTGGCACGGCAAAAAGTGGTCGATAAGTACGTTCGGGACTTGACCGATGGCTTCTCGGCTGGTCTCGAGGATGCATCGTGGTCCAGCATCTCGAAAACGAGTCCGAGTGGGAAAACAGTGCTGATCACGGGTGCAACTGGTAGCTTGGGATCACACTTAATTGCCCAATTCGTAGAATTAGCAGACGTCACTCGCGTTGTCTGCTTAAACCGACGCAGAGGAACCGACCCGGAAGAACGTCAAAAACAAGCCCTCATCAAAAAAAGCATCTCCTTATCCGACAAAGCTATCAGTAAGTTAAGCGTCTTCGAGACAGATATGGCAAAACCCAACCTTGGCCTACCTATCGAGGACTACAAAAACATTGTCGATAGCGTCACTCATATTGTCCATAATGCGTGGCTTATGAATGCGAAGTGGCCACTTCGTAATTTTGAGACGCAGTTCCAAATCATGAAAAATCTCCTCAATCTTTCCCGCGAGATTTCTATTCGGCGCGCTCTAGGTACCAAAGTCACCTTCCAATTCATTTCATCCATCGCTACTGTTGGTCACCGACCCATCTGGTCAGGCGAGCCAGTAGTCCCCGAGGAACGCATGACGATCGAGTCGGTGTTGCCTACAGGATACGGCGATGCCAAATACATCTGCGAACTCATGCTTGATGAGACGCTACACAAGCATCCTGATCGTTTCCGTGCTATGGTGGTCCGACCAGGGCAAATAGCAGGTTCGAGTATAAGTGGTTACTGGAATACTATGGAACACCTTTCTTTTTTGATCAAGTCTTCTCAGACGCTGAAAACGCTACCGGATTTCGATGGCCTACTTTCCTGGACACCGGTTGATGAGGTCGCTGGCACACTTGCTGATCTTGTTCTTCTCCCCGAAGATAAAACGCACTACCCTATATACCACGTTGAGAACCCAGTTCGTCAACCATGGAGAGAGATGACTCCCATATTAGCTGACGCTTTGAACATACCACAACAAAATATAATTCCTTTCAAAGAGTGGGTGCAACGCGTTCGGGAACACCCCAGACAAATTGAGGGACCCGAGGGCGAGAACCCAGCGTTCTTATTAATCGATTTCCTAGACGATAATTTCTTTCGCATGTCCTGTGGTGGCCTCTTACTTGATACTATTAAAGCTCGAGAGCATTCGAAAACCTTAGCAAATACGGGACCCGTTGGTGAAAGTACAGCCAGAGGATATATTCAGAGCTGGAAGGATATAGGATTCCTAAGTCAATGAAATGATTTCTCATGTAAGAGCTGGAACTCTGGGTGTTGTAGAATTAGGTAGTACATAATTTATAGTTTCATTTTTTATTTAGTTTTCATATCTTTCGCGAAATCGTGATTTACACCGTTTAGTGTAAATAAACTCTTATATTTAGGTTAATGAATTGTTGTATTTGTTGTTGTTTTTAGAAATTATGGGTTTCCATTTGACTCATCATCGCACGCAGGTACGAAAGATACATAGGTACCTTTAGTATGTACATAGATACCTGTACCCTGTCCCTGTAGGGTACCTTACTTCGTCACGTGAAAGCAAACTATCTCATACATTTTTCGGGATTCAGGCAATCACAGCTGAGGTTGATCTTCGGCAATAGTTTACCCCCCCACCTTGATAGCTTAAGTAATTCGGTTGATTGGGTGACGCGAATTTGCGATTTTTGATTGACAGCACGCTGGAGTTATAGAACCATCGCCGCGCCAGCGACATCAATTTCCATTTTCTTCCTTAACCAAAATAAAAATCCACAAGTCAAACGTCCCCGTTCTATCCCGCTATTTCCGCAACCCAATACTCAATTTCTACCGTTCCTTGGTCCAAAACGTCCTCTTGCATCATTTATTTTCCTTTCTGACACGTTTTTTCTTCGCGTCTTCCATACTAATTAATCCTTAACTATACCTAAATAGACATGGGTGAATCTCGGTGAGTGATGACCTCACATCTATTAGGCACCCTTAAGTCCTAAAGTGAAGATTCCTAACTAACGCTCCATCGCTCCTATGTAGTCAAGAGCTGGTAGCATGGCTGAACAGCCTTCTTCAGCTAAACATCACCAAAGTTGAACAATGTGGTACTGGGTAAGAATATCCTTGCGCTTTAACTATTTTACCCCTCCCCCGCCAAACAATACCCAAGCTATGTATGCTATTATGAGTGGTGTTGAATATTGTCAACACAAGATTTGAGCTAACCTTATATCCCTTGACTTTTACAGTGCCGCTCTCTGCCAGGTCTTCGACAGCATCTTCCTCGATGTACCCATGTCGCGTGTCAAATTTAATGTAAACACCGAATACGCTTACATCCAGAACTTCAAGGTCTTGCAAAGTTAGTTTTCCCCTTCTTCTACCTTACCCGTTTTTCCGTCTGTATCATATCTAAAGACTGCTATTATCATGGATCCATTCATGTACTAACTTTCCTTATTTCTAGACACATTCGCCAAGCACAATGTCGACAAGCCCATCCCTGTCGAAGCCCTCTCCAAATGCAAGATGCAAGATAACCTTGAGTTCTTACAATGGACCAAGAGATTCTGGGACCAGTATTATCCCGGCGGAGACTATGATGCTGTTGGACGAAGAAAGGGTGCTCCCCTTCCTGCCGGTGGAGCTGCTGCGCGAGCCACTGGGGGCGCCGGATCAGCTGCGGCACGAAGAGGTGGTACGACTCCCACAACCGGACCCCGCGTACCCAAGGCTGGTGGCGGTGGTGCCGCTTCAGCTGCCCTGATCCAAGAGAACGCGACATTGAAGGAGACAGTTGTCGGCCTTGAGCGCGAGCGAGACTTCTATTTCAGCAAGTTACGGGATATAGAACTCTTGATTCAACAGGCTGTCGACGAAGATCCCGAGATCGAGAAGCAGGAAGATGGACTTATCAAACAGATCCAGACGATACTATACTCGACCGAAGAAGGCTTCGAGATTCCCGCCGAAGGAGAGGCACTGGACGACCAAGAGACGTTTTAAAGCTTGCAAGAGTGACAAAACAACAAGAAAGTGATAAATAGCCATCAGCTAGGAGGTCGGTAGATGACCATGAATTAATATTGGAGCGGCTGGTATGGTGAGCCAAAATGGACAAGACGATGCGGGTGCTGAAGAAGAGATGCATCTAAAACGGTGTCATTAAAAAGCCCTCGGTTCTCTTATTCATTCAGTTTACATCATCTCAGGAATGGGATCCCGGATTCCTGGCAGTACTAGAAGACATTGTCCACTCTAGACTAATATACCCGCTTGACTCAAGGGTGTGATGCCTAGAGATCTGATGATAGATATTAACACAGACAAAAATTTTTTTTTCTTATGGAAGGTATTTGTTCACGTATTTGTTCACCTAATTACATCTTTACTTCGTACCTAATCTAATAGTATTTCTACATACTTTATTCTAAGTTGCGACCACTCCCTCCCTCCCTCCCCCCCTATAATAAGGTTAACTAGCTGCATATCTCGGGCAACCTCGTACATAATAGGTACCTGTCTATTATTTTTGCAACTTCCCTAAGAAACACGATTACTTTGAATTTGTTATGGGTTAGGGTGGTTCTACCTAAGGTCGTCCTTCCTATTTACAACTTCCTATAACTAGCATTATTATGGTACATATCTTTCCACTACATACCTACATAATGTATCTATCTCTTCCTCCACAGTTATAAAAACTTACCTTAGGTACATAAGGTAACTATTTTTAACTACATATCCTCCTTTTTAGCTCCCCGATGGATCGCAACGTGTGACATCACCATCAGCACCGTCGCTACAATGGCGCCGACAAGTTACCCTAATGATACGAATAACGCCGAAGCTCGCAAGCCTGTAGCACTTGCGTCTATAACCAAACATGCTTTGCAAAAGAATACTCATTCGCAGCGAAGTTCTTTGCGTAGAGCTATTCGAGAAAGTCTGCTAGACTTATCAGCCGTAGCAACTGTCACCACTCCTCCCCCTAATTCTCAAGCATTATTTCTCCCTTCGCCGTCGTTAGCACCATCTACCTCAACATCGCGCATTAAAACCACTACACAGCGAAGCTCTTTACGTCGAGCACTCAAAGAAAGCTTGCGTGATGTCACCGCTATTAGTACCACTCCCCCACCAACCCTATCGCCGACACCGCCAATAACTCCTAGATTCATGTCAGCCAAAAGCTCTACTTCATCGTCACCATCTTTGCTAGGAAATACGCCGGAAACGCCCATGACACCTTCCTCGATATCGCCGCTGAATTCTACTGCCAGATCATCGCCTGGTTCGGCTTCAACTCCCGCTCCCACTTTCCTCTCCCCATTACAAAGCAACAGGAAGTCCACAATATTGCAGAAGCGGCACCTAAGACAGCTAGGAAGAAAGCTCGAGTGTTTAAATACCAAGGAAAGCGACGGTTTAGGACACACTAGGACTGATAATGGAGATGAGCAGAGTAAACATTCTGAAGTGGTGGACAAGACTGATATCAACGGCATCCCTACATCTCGCAAGGGTTGGTATCGCGTGCGGTCCATCATCACTGAGGCACACGACCAAAACGGTCATCTCATCTACTTCGTCGACTGGGAGGGCCACGACCCTCGCACTGGGACCGGCTGGCCAGGATCCTGGGTATGTTTGCTTTTATCTACCAGACTTGTATTTCCCTTTACTCCAGAATTTCCAATCAACCTCAAAATAAAAACTAATACAGATATAATATTTAGGTTAACTCGAAGAACGTCTCGGATGCTGCAATTCGTGAGTGGCAGGACAAGCGAACCAAATAGGATCCTGATAAGAAGATGGTCTTACATCAAACAATGCCTATTTCGATTATGCTATATATATCTTGCTCCATATCTTGCTTATCAGCTAACTATCGAAGCCCGAAACCGAGATACGACGAAAGAGGGGATTTATCGAGACGCAGTTTATTATGTATCTTCGAGTAGCCAGGAATTTTACATTTCTTAGTCGAACGGACTAAACCAGTTAGCATACAATACGATGTTGTTGCATGCAAAATTGAGTACCTAATATATAAAAATCAACAGAAATTTTTGCTAATAAACTAGGAAATTTATTGAATCATGTGTACCAAATAATTGCAACTGTTCCTACCAGACGAAAAAGCTTTTACGCGCATATGTAACAATTGCTTAGGTACCTTTAATGCCAACTCAGGGGTTAACCCATACTCACCAATGAAAAGGTTTATTTTTACTCCAAAAATCCTGTACGAGACGATATTGACAACACTCTTTATCAGAAGCTACATGTTACCAATGTAGAATCCAACGCGTCTTGAGTTGGGTCGTATGTTATCAGTGCATGGCCGCTGCATAATAATGACAACTCATCAGGGGTAGGATAAAGGGGTTGAAGATTCCTTAGACAGTTTCCTGTTGGGTATCGATACAATGGGACCACATCTATCATAAAACCAGAGTAACGTGTTGCCTTCATATGAAGATTTGTGACATCAGGAAGTATTCTGGAGATTTCCTACCTCTATAATATAATATAGATGTTTCCCAGAGCCCAAACCATTCCTACCTAGAAGATAGTTACCGTTATTTCAAGGCTGATATGATAGCTGATTTCTTTGTAAGCCATGCTGTCAGAGACGTCAAGAATTGGACTAGGATCTCCATTGCTACTGTCCAGCCTCAGATATCCTATACTATGGTGAGAGCTTCGTATATCACAATTACTCCTCTCGGTTTCTGGTAAACACCTTCACAAAATTTCTTAAAAAAGTTCGCCCTACCTGCCAGCCTCATTAGGAAAAGTGTAAGGGATGTCCACATCATCCAAGAACGGTTCTTATTGGCGGGACACAAACCATCGGCTTCCTGATTCGGCGGTGCCACCCCGTTCCCGCAAACTTCTCCGATCTTGGTCTATTTGTTTGCGCAACACCATAATGCGAGTGCGGCCCAAGCGGCCATGGACTCGGATTCTAATTACGATTCGTGGAAATACTTACCGTTCGAGCTAGGCGAATGTGAAGACCTCGAGAACTATGAGCCGGGAGGTTTCCACCCGGTGCATCTCGGTGATGTGTATGATGAACGCTACCGAGTCATCCACAAGCTCGGGTCTGGCGGTTTCTCTACCGTCTGGCTTGCTCGAGAAACCATCACGAATCGATGGGTCGCCTTGAAGATCGTTGCCGCTAGAGACTCACCTACGTACGAAGACCGTTCCGTGATTACGAGCAATCCCAGCATTGCCGGGTCTCGTCTTTTTGTCACAGTTGATCGGCAGTTCTGGATCGACGGTCCAAATGGCCGACATCTTTGTCTCGTACTTCCGGTTTTAGGCCCGGACTTGTCTAAGATTTCTAGGGGAATCTACTCGAGAATAAAACCAGCATTTGCCCAGGAGGTATCTCTCCAGGCAGCTCTGGCTCTTATACAGCTCCATTCAAACGGGCTTTGCCATGGAGGTAAGTCAATCGCCGACCCCGGTTGGATATACGAAGATTCGCACGCTAATCCAATAAGACTTTACTACGAGCAACATAGCGTTACGCCTCATTAACGAGTTTGACTCGTACGAGGAGGATCACCTACTTGAACTTTTTGGAAGTCCTCAAACTACGCCCCTTCGAACCTACTCCGAGGATCCCCCAGGACCTCACGGACCCGAATACATTGTGGTCCCCTTAGACTTCTGTTCTTCAGCCACCAACGTTCTTAGCAGCGAAATATGTATCATAGATTTTGACCAGTCATTCACAATCACATGTCCGCCGCTGGAACGGCCTGGGATACCGGCGAAGTATCTAGCACCAGAAGTTACGGTCGGACGACCCGCAAGCCCAACATCGTATATTTGGGCTCTGGGATGCGCCATCTTTCGGATCCGGTCAGGCGACGACCTTTTCTTTGACTACGACACCGATACCCCGGCCGATGCGCTTAGGCAGATTGTTAAAGCCCTAGGTGAGCTTCCTGAGGAGTGGAAGCAGACTAAGTTTGACGAGGAGGGGTTTGCCGTTTTCGACGGGGAGGGCGAGCTATTCTGGAATTTGGAAGAGACGCGGCCATTGGAGGACCGAGTACGAGGGATTATTGATGAGCCACCTAGTCTATTTATAAACCGTCTAGGAGAGGCGGTTAATCCCACGGACGAGAAACCGGGGGCTGCTATGTTTGACGATGATGCCGCTCTCAGGGAACCCTACTCGCCCGCGTTCAGCTCGATTATATGGAAACCAACGGCAGTATGTGTCGCCGGCAACTACTTCATAGCGTACTCGGATGAGTTGGATGGCATACTCGGAGCGTTCCCAAGGATATCGGAACTCGAGGCGTCGTTGCTGGTCGACCTTTTATCGAAAGTTTTCACGTATGATCCAGGGACGCGGCTTAAAGCGGAAGAGTTAGTTACTCACCCTTGGTTTCATTTACCTATAGCCTCTAAGTCAGGGGTAGATTTAAAGTAGTCTGGTAACCAATGTTAGAGGATTTCAATAATAAAATGTGTTTATGCTTTATCATTAAATTGCTTTGGCTGTTTTTTGGGCACGCTTTTTGTGTAGTCGATATTTAGGTACCTATTTATTTATTTAAAATTGCATGTTAAATATCCATATGCCAAACTTTTTTATTTCATTTTAAGTCCTAATTTAAAAACATCGGTGCTTAATCGCGATTGCGTAAAAGATCTTCCCCATGGGGATCTTGATCTCGAAGCTTGGCAAGATGACTACCCCAGAACTAGCGATTCAACAACAAGGAGCAAGATTACGCTCATTAGCTAATCCCCAATTCGGGAAAGCTGCTTTCATCAGCACTCCTCCTGTTGAGTTGCACAGTCCCAGTGGTCTGGATGAATGCAGCTACAGGTATAGGGGTATATTCCCTCTGTTTAAGTTCGTTGGGCCAGTGGAGAGGGGACAAACCGTCACGTTCCATGGTACTATTCAGAACGAATGCTACGCTAGACCGGCAGTACGAATACGGAGAAGAAACATATAATAAGCCCGGTTATATAGGTAGGTATCTATATAGAAACCATCTCCTTTTCCTGGTATACATATACATACATATGCACTGCCATGTACCTACCTATATGTGTCCAACCGCTGCTAAAAAGTAGCAGTGGCAGGCTGCGAGGTGACCTTTCTAATCTGTAAGTCCGTCACATTCGCTTCGTGCCAATAGCTGGAGAGGCATGGGTTCGGTTGGAAGAAGGTCGATGGAAGCGAAAATGGAAGATTCCCCTTTTAGACGACTAGGATCCCGAGGGTCCATTCATCCATTTCTTATTTTCTTTCCCGTTCTCTCTTTTTCTTATTATACACCTTTTCCGACCGCATGACCTTTAGAATTTTACCCTCTTGGAAGTGATACTGACGACCAACATGCTGACGATTGGCTCCTTCGGGAAGAACCTAATAGAAATTCATCAATTGGCTTGGAGTTGGTAGAGATTCAATACGCTAAGAAGCGTGTTCACACTTGACTGGCATCCAATATAGTACTCTTATTCTCTCAGATCGCTCTAGCTAATATAGTATGAGGTATGCAAGAAATACCTATGTGGTCACCTCAATTGATTCTCGTTAACTTCTTACCAAGAGTGAAGATGTTGGAATTGGGGGATAATATAAAAGCATGTATATACCTACATACATAATATTAACATCCCCGCTCCTTGCTCCTTTCAAACGATGCTCCCTGTTCCCCATCACCCCAGATCTATTCTCATGCCCACTTATACCCTGGAGCCTAGGCATGGGTTCAATTTAGTGCTATCCTTGTTTCGATACATCGTTGAGCTTGAGCATTTTCTCGATGTTAGTCGTTGATTCGCCAAACCCTAGAGCGTCAGAAACAATTGAGGTCTGGGTCATAAGGGAATAAGAAACGTGGTCCCCAGACTACCTAACCTATTGTATTTCCGCAAGGTACTAGGTACCAGGAGGTACTAAACACATAACTACTACATACCTATGGTTGTCGATCTACACACATACAGCGTGACATTAGTTTTTATAGAAACAGAAATGTCGATCGTGTTCACATTTATACTTGATTTAATTGGCTACGAGCCCGCTATTAATATATCATCTTTACCTTCTTGAACATTGTCTCCATGGTGGTACCGGCACAGAATCTTGTACGGAGCTCCTAGCTCTCCCAGCAGACGGGATTGACTACTAATCCTGGTATGTGGATATACTGCTGCAAACAGTAGCTGAATGTTATGTGCTGCTGCTTATTCGAGGCACAGCATCACATACGACGATATTCCGCTGTTTGCCTAAGCCGAGAATGATAAAAGTACCACGTCGTAAGCTCGTGTCTTCGTGACGGCGAGGATTGGATGGGGTAGGATGTGGGGAAAAGAAAAAAGAACGGGCCTCGGCAGGGCTACATACAATGTAGTAGCAGAAGCCCAACCAGTAGACGATCCCGAGTTTGCTCTCTGGCAAACTCCGGAAATCAGCCCGCTCGGAATGTCTCCCTGTCTCCGTACTGTACATAGACATTATACATAGACATTATATCCCCGAAGAGGGGAAAACGAACATCGAGCTGGCTCTACATACTATGTATAATTGGACCTGGTTGTCGCTAGGAAAAAGGATATGGGGAGAATGGTACATAGTTAGCATGTTAGCATCATTACCCGTTCGTGCGTCTTGTCCCGTCCTTGCAGAGAATTAGTCGTGGTTAGATTTGGTGAGTCTAATACCAATTCGTTGACCGTCTTGTTCCATTACGAAAGGAAAACAAATGCATACAACCTCTGGGCTATACTAGAAGCCAGACCGGTAATATAAGAGGCGCACTAATAAGAAAAAGGTGCTGACAATCTTACGACGTATTCTACACATACCTTGGTATGTACGGTAAGTCGTATGTGAAGCAACATGCAGTCTCCTGAACTATTCCTGAATGCTTTCGTTAACTACCCCAGGTATTCTTCAACTTTCACTGTAGTTGTTAGCGTTCGGCTTTCGCAATGCCTGCATCTCTTAAAGCCGCGCGTTGTACAGTACATACACCTATATGGACGGATGTGACCTTACGGGTTACCTGCCCATACCTATTCTATTCCAAGTCCCTGCATGCGTACCACTTTGTACCTCAATATTTTCGACTTATGAACGAAGAGGGAAAATAAAGAAAAAAAGACGTGTCACCAATAGAGAAATGGAACATCGGGACTATGTCAATTTGATCGTTTGGCGCTCGTTCATGATTGATTTGCCCCCCCATCATACGATTTTAGCTCTCGCATTCCCTCTTCTGAGATCGATCCCCGGCTCTCGTTTTCTTTATTTTCAGCCACTCACACGACGCCCTTAACCTCACCCACATGATTCGGTCTTCACGTGTATAATACTCCAGAGGCTCTCTCCGGCAAACTAATCCCTGTATTCTATATACATACGTTAGGTACATACATACTTACCTATTCACACCTTATGTATTAAGGTCCTACCAGTCGAAACTCCTCAACTTCAAACAGCGAACAGCCGCTCTCCCACCGGACGAGGAAACCCTCGCTAGCATCTGTCATCTGACAAGCCACCACCATACCTAACCCATCATCCGCTGACGCTGACGACGACTTCGGTCCTTCTTAATTGACAATCTGCTTAAGGCCGTATTATATGTGATATGTATGTACATACTTAACATAGCTGTCTTTCCCCTCCCCTATTGAACTTCGCGAAAAGGACTAGTTAAACTAACAGAACTAACAGTCCTAGTTCATCACGATCCTAGCTAGCTAGCCACCTCACGTCCAATCCATATGTACTCTTTCTCTTTCTCTCTCACCCATGTCCGCAGGATCTGCGCCTCGTGCCACTTGCAGCAATGGCCCTAGCAATAGCCTAGGATAGGTAGGTAATTCGTAGCTAATACCCTGGGATACCTAAACTAGCCTGACTAGCCTGATGCGTATACTAGAACCGCACGTAGCATTTGTAGCTCAACGCCGAAGCAAGAAGAGGGAAACACAAGACGCACACATACCTACAACATACCGTCCGGTACCAACTGTCGGGATCTTCCCGCCCCCGAAAATATCCACCAGCATTATTTATGTATGTACTAAGATTGCCTTCCCCGGGTTTAACGCAGGTGACGATCTTCAGCGTCCCGTTCCTCTCTCTTATTAAGCCGCCTAGCCAATCTCGCCGCCTCGGTCCATTCTCCTTCCCATCACTCTCCACATAAGTTGCAATACACCACTATTTTGCATACCCTCATATAGCATAATAAAGTCGACATTGACAATTTTAGCTATCTAGGTAACTTACAGGAACTAATACTGCCTTGTACAGAAAACGACAACGTGCTTCGGCTAGTACTCCCGTATAGCGTCGACCGTATTTCGACTTTGATGAAGCGTCACGGTCTGCAATATTTTGGATTCTCTCATCCACGGCACATCTACATTAATCGTACATTAATACGTTTATTAAGGATTCGCAGCGGTGGGTGCATCAAGCTGCATAACTCCTTAGGACCTCATATATCCTTAAGCACTACGACGGCACGGAGAACTATCTACGCGATCATGACACACTTCCCAACCTGAGCCAGATCCTTTCCCTCCTCTCTTCGACATCATCCGTGTTGATCTATTCATTCAACAGCACTCAACCCCCTTCATTATAGTCATAGGAGGGTTTTAGCACCAGCCGAGTAGGGTTACTATGGTCGTTAAGTTAGATGCGCACCAGACGTCCCTGGAGCCCTTTGGATTGCCCTGGTCCTCTTGTCACGCATGTCATTCGGATGATGATCCGGGCCTAGGTAATAGTAGCAGGTCGCGCTACTTTCGGGTCAGTGCATCGGCGCCCAATTCACCGCCAAGCGTTGTCCGGATACTCAAGGCCGGGGTCAACGGTGGTAGTGGGAGTGAGACGAGCAGTGAAAGCAAGAGCCAGGATCATGCTAGTCGCAGGGTTGCTAGTTCAAGCTCTCGCTTGGCCAAGATCCAAGTAGAGCTTCAACCGTGCAGGTCTCGGATTTCAGCTGCAGTGTTATCAGCGGAGGGCCGACCGAAGCCCAAGAAGGCGAACTCGGCCCCGGTAGTTTTACAATCCCAGTCTGGAACCGGCGATGAAGCCCAAGAAGAGCATAGTAGTGATGTGGCCCCAACATCTAGGGTCAACTCACTTCAACCCCTGGTAGCAACGGCGTTAAACGCCGTAGTGTCAAATGAAGAGGGAAGGGAAAGGACGTTATTCTGCTTCCCCCGTGAGGCGTTCGTCCCGTCTTCCCTTGTCCTCCGGCCTCCTAAGCGCGGCCGCGCATTGCACGATGTTGACGGGCCCGGAACGGGTAGTCTTCCGTGTAAGAAGCGGCGATTGCGACTGCACCTTGTAACGAGTAGGCTATCGCAGCCATACTCGTGGCCGGCGACGCACATTCTGAACCGCGAAAGCGGGGACGACTCTCCCGTGCTCAACCGATTCCTCAAGCTCGCCGCCATTGGCTCTCTAAAGAGAGCCGGTCACCAAAGCGGGCTAATCCGCAAGGCAGCCATTCTCAATAGAGTGAGGATTGGAGTGCGGCAAGCTGCTGTGCTGAGGGGTCACACGGTGATCGCGGGAATGGCGGCTAGGGGAAACTCGCTGAGCCATGGTTTACAGCTAGTGACGACGTCTAATAGCTTAACAGGAGCCCGGTTTCCTGGCCACGCGCCTAACCCTTACGATCACCCAATACCTCCAGCTTGGCGACCACATACAACATCATTCCAGCCCTCGTCTTTTAGTTCAAGCCCTCCAGACCGGGAAGATTCTACGAATCAAGAAGGTAGTCCCGAGAAAAGGAGTCCTAGCCCAGGGGCGACTTGCCCATCTCCCCCATCGCGACCGAGTGTGCAGTTGAACCCACCAGATCCACCACCACTACATGTGGAAGAAGATGATGTGGCCTTCCCCTCTCCAGACCTTGAGACTCGATATGCAGATTTTTCGGATGATGATCTAGATGATGTATATGCAGATTTTGGGGTACTATTTGGCTCCAGTGCGCGGTCACCTGAGGATGGTAGTGGAAGCAGTGAAACAACTGGTGGTGAACATTTCTATGAGGAATACTTGGATGAGCTGGATGGAATACGATGGATAGCGTAAGGTACTACGCATGGGGTATTCGAACTGCTAGCGATTTGCATGATAAGTATGTTTTGGGCATTTTTGTAGCTGGCTGAAGGAAATTTGGTGTCAGGGTATCCGACAAGGGAAATAAGGAAATAACAGGGAAAATATATATCAGATGCATCGTCGTTATGGATAGAAGCATACCGCAGCCTCACGGCAGCTTCGGATGATCAAAAATTCAAATAATAGGCAACAAAGAAATAGTTTATGTTATAAGGTAGTAACTTGTCATATACCATGTTCCCTATGATGATTAGACGATCAGTAAATAACAAATTCTTCTCGTTGATTTTAAAAGCAAATTGGTAATAAGGGTGTCTCTAAGAGATTAGGATATGAACACTTAACGATTCTAACTGACAGCGTGGAATACGATATATGTAATATATGTGCTGGTATACTCTTGTATATGGGTTGGCTTAGGAATTGATAACGGCGGCGAGCTCGCTTAACAAGCATATAGGTCGCTTTTAAATGAATGATGCGTCTACATTCCTCCATATTTGAAACTTGAATAGGATCTAGATGGACATCCTTTTAGTCTGCAGCCTGAAGCTTTTTCTCGCGATCCAAAGCAATATCGATCATCGCCTAAGATAGGGGTCGAGCCAAAATGTGTCAGCATAAGGGGAAATATTTACACTTTGATTTAAACATCTCTCCCCGGATAGACTTCACCTACCTGGATGGCTTCTCGTTCCTCAGCGAATATGTCACCACGGTCAATACGCTCCCGCATATTATTCATAACGGTTTCACGGCTTCGGCCATTGACAAATACTACGTATCGTAATCCGGGGAATCGTACCTCATACTCCTCGTTCAGAGCTTCAAGCCTTCTAGCCTCTTCTTCTTTCTCGTCTGAGGTACCGGATGAGTTAAGATGTGCCTGTTCAGCCCGACTCTGTGCACTCTCTACTTTCTTCTCACCCAGACGCGGATGTGAGCCCAAGATTGCATGTAGCTCTGCTCTCGAGTCAGCAGTAGTTGGGCTTTCTGCGAGCTGAAATAGGAGACTTCCAACGTGTTCGATGAGAGACGAGTAAGATGAGAAAGGGGTGTTGCGGACCGCTGGAATGGCTAGGAGGTGAAGGTCTTGGGATGGTTCAAAAAGTACATTGAGTATGGACTTGATTGTGTTATCGTCAGCCCCTTGAAGTGAGACAATGGGTGGCAGAGTTGGAGAAGCCATTCCGTAAGGTCTTGCATATATGAATGTGGTTATGGATGAGCAAATTTGGAATAAGTTAAGAGATTCGAAAATTTATAACAGTAATGAATAGGTACCTCAGTTATTAAAATAATAATCCGTACTTCAGTTATCTTTATCTTTATTATTACTTGAGGAAGTTTCCACATAGTATGGAATACCTAATAGTTAGGTACCTGTTATTATGTTAAAAGTTGTAGTAATTGCACTTAGCAATAATTTGCTTCAATTTCAAACCATTGATTAATGGTGGGGGTTAAGGTGGGGTCAGATTACCGAATCTCGGGGAAGGCATTTGTACTACACTAACTAAGGTTTGTTTAGCTCAAATCTTCGGAGTACATACCTAGGTACATATGTACATATGCATGTACCAAGAAATCAGCCAGGCATATGATTTCATCAAGACAACCTTACCGCTCCAAGGGGGTATTTGAAAATGCTTACAGTAATTATATCACATCTTTGAAATCATTTCAGGCTAAATATATAAAAAAAATAACTTTAAATTTAATACGGTTTTAATATTGGTTACTATTTTTTATTATAAATAAATATTAAGATTTTAAAATTATATTATAATTATAATTATTATATAAGTATAAAAATTTTTAATTAAAATAATTTTAAATTTAAAATAATATTATATATTTATTATAATTATCGATAAATATAATTTTATTTATTAAATATTATATATATTTTTAATTAAATTTTAGATATTATAATATATTTAATCTTAATATAAAATTATTTATTTAAATTTATATTTTTAAATAATATTTATTTTAAATTAATAATAAATTTTATATATATTTATTTTAAAATTAAAATTCTTTTTTTATAATATTATTATATTTTTATAATATTATTTTATATATATAAAATTTAATTGTATTAAAAAATATAATAGTTATAAAATTATTTTATTTTTATAATATTAATTTATATATATAAAACCTAATTATATTAAAAAATATAATAGTAATAAAATCATTTTATTTTTATAATATTAAATTATATATATAAAACTAAATTATATTAAAAAATATGGTGGTTATAAAATAAGGTTAATATTTTAAATTTATATTTATATATAAAAATAATTATAATATTAAAAATATATTTATTATATAATAATTTTTTAAATTAGAAAAGTTATTTATATGTAAAAGTTATATTTAATTAAATTATTATTTACAATAATATTATATTATATATTAATAAACCATTTTATAATAAAATTATATATATATTTAATATATTATTATGCTTATTTTATTTAAATTTTTTATTTAATTATTTAATTTTTTATTTAATTTATTTAAATAATTATTATCTAATAATATTAATTTATAAATTAATTAAGATTAAGGATTTTTTTTATAAATTGATTGGTATAATTTTATTACGTTTTATTAAGTTTTATTTTATTATAATAGGTTTATAATTAGATTATTTATATTAAATAATAGTTTTAGGTTTATATTATACAAATTTATTTTATATTAATTGTTTATATAAGGCTGCAAAGTTGCAAAGTTGCGGTAAAATGAGATAAGTTTTTATAAACAGATTTTTACATTATTTTAGAAATTTTAAAAGGCATTCTTCAATATTTAAATATAAAATATGGTTTTATATTTAAAATATAATAAACCTAAAATTATTTTAATATAAAATATATAATAATATATTTATAAATAATTAATAGAATGTTAAAAATATTAGGTTGATATTATAGTATAGTAAATAATACCTGGTTTTTTATTACTTTAAAAAATCTAAAATATGTAGGTTTAAATTTTATTATAATAAATTTAATAACTTTAATTTTTATCTTTTAGTGTTTATATTTTTATATTATTTAAAATAATTAAATATATAAATAAATAATATATAAGAAGATTAATATATATAAATATATATAAATAATTATTTAAATATATATATAAAAAAATACTTTAATAAGTAAATAAATATATAAATATATATATATATATATTAAGAAGATATATAAATATATAATTAAATAAATAGGTAAATAAATAATTAAATAATTAAATATATTAATAAATATATAAATAAATAGTTATAATATATGGTAAAATAAATAATTAAATATATATAAAAAATTAATATATAAAATTTAAAATAAATAAATAAATATATTAAAGATTATAATATAATATTTATATATTTAAAAAATATATCCTTTTAATAAAATAAAAATAAGTTTATAATAAAAAAAAATAACCATTAAATAAAAAAAGAAAAAGTAAAAGATAAATATTAAAAACTTTAAATATTAATAACATACCTAACCTTTTTTTATTAAATTAAATTAAATATATTAACAATTATTATTTTAAAAATATATTAAAATAAATTAAACAATTTAACTAAACTATTAATATAAAATATAACCCGAAATTATATAAAAAAAGAAAATTAATAACCTTAAAAAAATTGCAATATAATATAATTTAAAATATTTAATTTAAAAATATTTTAATTCTTAATTTTATATAAATATTAATCAAAAATATATATTAATAGTATTAATAATCTTAAATATTGATTTTATAATATAATAAATTGCTAAAAAATAAATAAATATTTATATTTAAATAATAAATTATTATTTAAAATATAACGCCAAACGTTACTAATAAAAAATTTTACAATATTATATATAAACATATTATTATTATATATTAAAGTTTTTAATTAAATAAAAAAATTACTTCCTTATTTTTAAATTTATTATATAAAAATTAATATATATATATTATAAAACGTTTAAATTATTTTAAATTAAATAATAATAAATAAAGAAATATAATATCTATTAAATTAAAATATTCTAATAAAATATTTTAATAAAAACTGCAACTTCTACTATTATAATAATAATAATTTTTATTATTTTTATTAATAATATATATTATAATTATATTAAATAACCATAATTTATTTATATTTAAATTATTAATTATTATTAATTATACTATTTTTTTCCAATATAGTTTATAAATAAAGGTTTTATAAAAAAATAGAAAATATTATAAAAATCCTCTCCAAACTTATATTTTTTTCTTATATTTAAAAAAAAAATAATAAAATAGATTTAACTATAAAACCTAATATATACCTATAATAAAACTATACTACTTATAATTAAATAAAAAATATATTATAATCCACAAATAAAAAAAAATTATCTAATTTTAATACCAATTATACCTTTTCCACTTTTACACAATTTAACTTAATAATTTTATATTCCCTAATTAATTCATAAAAAAGATATTATACCAAATAATCTATATCCAAGTCTTATATATATTTTAAAACCAAATTTATAACTAAGAATAACCAAGAAATATTTATTTTTTTATAAACAAATAAATTATTTAATTGTACTAATATAATATCTCTCAAAATCTAAATATTAATATTAATAAAATTATTAATAAAAAAGTATACTTATTTCCTATAGTTAATAATATATTAATAAAATTCCAATTTTATATATAAAATTTCTATATAATCTTATACTTACTTATTTGTAAAAAAAACCTTTTTTTACTATATTAAATTCTTAATATTAAATTTTATTATAAAATTATTATAATTATTAAAATAAACTTTAATAAATATAATAATAAATTTACTTTCTTTATTTAATTTTTATAATTCTTTTATATTTAATAATAAATCGTTTTTATAATTAATAAAGTAAGGTAAAAAACGGTATAATAATAAAGATAATTTATAAATAAAATCCCTTTCTAACTCTTTTATATTCTCTTCATCTTTAAATGGCATTATTAAATATTAAAATTATAAATTAAAAATATAAACCAATACAAAATATTTTTTATTTACTTATTAAAAAAATAAATAAAATTTTAATATAATTTTTTTAAAACTATTAATAAATAAAAAAATTATAGTTTAATTAATATTTTCTTTTATAAATAATATAATATAAATATCATAATAATTTATTATTATAATTAAAGATTTATACTTTTTATATATTATTAATATTAAAATTTATTATAATATCATTTAAATTCATTATATTTTTATTAATATTTATCTTTACCTAACAATATTTATACTAATTAATATAAACCATATTCTTAAATTATTTCGAATAAATAAAAATTAAAATAAATATTTAAAATACCTTTCATATTAATAAATAAATTACATTTATTTTTAGGGTTTACTTAACATCTCCTTAATATAATCTTAATAATATTTATTTATAAATTTACATTACCACCCTATTAATTACCCCCTAAAATAATATTTACAATTTTTAAAACCTAATTCATTATATTCTTTTATAATATAATTTTTTATACCTTTTTCATATTCTTTTCTTTATTAACTTACCAAATTATAAATTATTACCGGTTAATATTAATATTAATTTAATAAAAAAATTAAACAGTTTTATAACCTATAATAATAATTTCTTTTAAACGTATAATATCTTTTACAACTAATTTATAACCAAATAATGTAATAATAAAATAAATAAACGTTTAAACAGTTATAATAATCTAATTTACAATTATAAAATTTACTATAAATATAGAAAAATTTCTATTATTTAAATATTTATAACTAATTTATTTAATAACAAAATTATAATCTTTTTTTATGTAATACTACTTTAACCAATATTATAAAATAAATAAGAAGATAATTATCTTATAAATAAACTTTTATATTTTTTAGGAGTTTAAGTAACGTTTAAAAGACTATAAATAACCTTAACTAAGTAATACTGTAAAATTTTAATATATAAAATAAATTTTATTTAAGGTAAATAATATTAAAATTAATATGCTTTTTTTAAAAATTATATTATATACTAGCCAATTTAACCTTTAATATTTCAAATAAGTAACATTTATTAAGTAATTTTAAATAATATTAAATACTAAATATAATTAGGTAAA